TATATATATATATATATATATATATATATATATATATATACAATGTCCTTACGACCTGTCCTTGTTCAACTAATGCGAGGCTGTTATGGTATAAGTCGTCGTTGTCGTTGTCGTTGCTTTTGTCGTTGGTGTCGTTGTTGTTGGTCGATGGTTGACGTTTCGACGATTTCGCCTTCCTCAGAGCCGTGCTGTCATGTGTGGCACCACCCGTGCCAGGCAACCAAATTTAGGCACCGGCAGCAATGGATTGGCGAACCGACAGACATCGATTTTTCGCATAAAAATGATATTGCTTAGAATTGTTTATTTCATAACCACAATGACGCCGAGATGTGGGAAAAACTCGTAACCTCAGCCTGTGTTACCCTGCCGTTGGAAAGAAATAGGCAATAACTAAGAGTTAAACATTGTGATTTCGACTGCAGCTTTAACATAGTTAGGTTCACTGCGGATTTGTGCTCGGCTGGTCGTTCCCGTCATCGGATGATCGCTGATAACACGGCTGGGTAAAGAAAATGGCTGAGAGAAAGGCAACCGAGCGCTTTCGAAGGTGCAGTGGGTAACACATTAGCCTCCGGAAAGGGTAATCGCGGGTTCTATGCGTACCCGAGGTTCCCATCTTTGCCCATGTCTCAGCATGCCTCAGCTGTAGTACACGTAATACCCGGCTGTAAAAAAGTTACAAGCGGTTAATAAAAGTTAAACTTTGTTCATTTAATAATTCGTGTCACTAACGGGAAGTAATTCTGTGGGTTTTCCCTGCTTGTTAGAAACTATTTGCTTGTTTTTTATTACAGAGCGTCGTAAACAGTTTTTATGATTTAAACTTCAGTCGTGAACTCCTTGCAAAGGTATAACCCGTGAGAATCTGATTTCTAGGTTCTTTAATTCATTCAGTGGAGTCATGAGTTCACACATATGCAGTGTAATGAAAAGGGTGCTTTTTGAGCAACCTGGGAGGACGAGTGGAGCAGGAGGAAATCGGTCACATTAAAAGATCACCTTTGATTCTATGGGCGCCAAGCGATGTTCGAGAAATTGGGGGCTAAATGGATGCCAAACGGAAGGGATCGGCTCATTTGGGGAACTCGACAGCATAATGACGTGCCTTTCAGCGGCGAGTCAGATGACTCTGTACGGCGCTCACCGCATCATCAACTACCACTGTAATGTTGTTCTCTGGTATAACTATCACGCAGTTCCATTACTCTCTACAACTACGACATAACGACTATTGTTAAATGACAATGTTCACTGATAGTTGTAATATACCAACAGTTGCTGTAGCTTGTCATCCTAAAGTCACTAGAATATTCGTTTGAAAAACGTTTCTCGTCGGTGAAAATGGAAGGACTCACAAGCCTGAGGGAAATTCTTTCAGTTTGATGCTTCTGATAAGCGATTTAATCATTTATGACATTTACAGAATATGATCAATCCATCGCATATCGTTGCTCAGTGGCTAGAAGTGCCACTACTATGCAAATGGTCTTTGGTTCGATCTCCCGCCCAGAAATAACCAAACTTCCAATCTTCTGGGGTTTCACATTCGCACCAAACTTTTCCTAGAGGGTAAAAGCACTGACTTGATCCATCGGTTCACCACAGCAAGTTATTTTAGTGGTTCAGTTTGCATAATATCACCTCTATGGTGCTCTGATGAGATGAAAAATGGAGTTAGGTGTGACAAGCCTAATAGTTCTTCTAATGCTTTAATGAATATACTGAATCCTATTGTGTTTTTTTTTTGCTTCAATGAAAAACAGCTCTGGACCAAAAGTTGACTTAATTATGAACTAATTTCTTAGCGTGATATAAGTTCATGTCCGGTAACAGTTACCGTGCTTGTTCAACAACATCCATTTTTCAGATGAGAATTAAACTGCTAGTAGTTTTCTTGCTTACTTTCCTGTATGCCGAAAGCCGTGATGATTTCGACGATATGGAGAAGTACCAAGGTGGGTTAGAGTTTGAAGCGAGTTTTTAATGCAGTTCGGCACTCGCCCATTACTTGCTCTAGAATGGCGTTGTCGCAACCAACCGACAGTGTGTCATCTAGCACATGAGCAGCCGACCAACGACCAAAAGGCGCCGTTAAGCAGCGGCATGGGCGAGAGCCAGAAGGCGCGAGCGCTGGCCGCCAAGGTAAGTCTGCACTAGGCAGTCACTGGCAGTGTCTGAGTTCCTTGACCGCTGAATACATTTGAACAAGGTCACAATTAAGAAATTGTGTGATCTCATGTTTTTAAACACGATTTATCGCCTTCATTGCCCGTTTACCACCTCATCTGTCCAATTTTTCAGTACTGAAGTGATTTAATAAATTGGTGAATTAACAGATAACATGGAAGTCTAAAAGTCCAAAAAAATTTTCCTTGAACGTTTTTTGCATGATCCTACGCGATACAATTAGCCCATCCAATCACTTCCTTCATTCCGGTCTTCAGATTTCTTCATGAATGCTTTAAGATTTTTCTTCCTTTACCTATTTTGTTAAAAGCCGGCGTGGAAACTTGGTAAAGCCATGACACGTCTTCACTACAGAGCAGCAACCATTATAGATGGAAAGCTTGGTTGGACGAAGAATAAACAAAAATTTGTTGAATTATTGAACAGCATCCCTACCACTTCGTTATCAGTGCCACCTTCCTAATATTTAATACTTACGCTATTTATATTTAATATTCAGTAATATTTAGTACTCACTTTATTATATAACAACATTCTTCTAGAAGATCACTGAATGACCACATTGATATAAGTGGAATTACAATTGCAGTACTTCAAACTGAAAGAAAACCAAAAACAGTGCAAGAATGTAATGCTACCACAAATACGACTTTTTTTACTTACTGCCTACTGTCTTGTTTCATGGCAAAGTATTATGTGAACCACAGGTGCTCGCGGGTTTCAATCTGGCCTGGTGTTCGAGTTTTACAAGTATATCAGCATCGTATGAAATGCTGGGATATTTGCAAAACTTCGGACCGCAGGTGTATGCGGTGGGGAACGAACATGCGCTGTTGTCCTTACCGGGGAGCAGCGCACTTCACCACCATACCAACCGGGTCCTTTGCCTTGCCTGTCTCTCAGCTAGTTCTATCGCATGTTCGTTCTCCACCGCATACATCTGCGGTCCGGAGTTTTGCAAATATCTCAGTATTTCATACGAGTTACATTTCGCAACATACCCAGCCATTAAGAAGAAAAAGGCAGTAAATAAAAGGGTTAAGATTGTGATTATCTCAGCATCTTTATTTTTCTTCATTCGACTACTGCTCGACTTCATTGGATTTGAGTCCATGCGACAACGAACAACCAAATCTCAACGACGACCACGTGTGGATCATTGACTCGAATCAATCCGGCCCTGAATAAGAGGAAGGCATCGAAACGTTAGCCGGATAAGTCTCTTTACCAACTACGTGTTTGCTTAACCATCGGAGAAGGCATCTCAGCATCATTGTGGTTGTATTTCACATAATTCCCTGCCATGAAAAAAGATAATGGGTAGCAAATAAAAAGTTGAATATTCTGATTTCGACTGCAGTCTCAGCTTAACTGGGTTTAGTGCCGATTTGTGCTCTCTAGATCATCCTCGTTAACGAGGGACTACTGATGCCAGCCTAAGGGTAAGAAATTGGCTGAGAGAACGGCAAATCATGGGCCTCTATAATGGAGTGGGTAACACGTGAACCCCTGGAAAAGGTAACTACGGATTCGAATCTGGCACGGGATCCCTGTTTTCCAAATATCTCAACAACATTGTGGTTGCATATAGCATGTTCCTCAAGATCTTCGTTTCTGACGCACGTGAGATTTTTGTGTCTTTCATCCATTCGTAAACTCTAGTCGGAAATCATACTCGATATCCAAAGACGTAGATTTATCTCACTTAATTTTTACAGTTCCACTTTTAATTGTAGTGATATAACAAGGACGTGTTGTGAACTGCAACGCAAAGCTTATTCGTTCTACTGCCGTGGTCAGAATTGATGCAAAAATGGTTAGGCGCAATAAAAGAGCTTAAAAGAAGTCGACTTTTTAACGAACCAAGAAAGCGAAGCCACCGCATTACACAGAACACACCTCCACTTCCAAGTTGCGCGCTACCATTTCCTCTTGCAAGACTTTGTGGTTAAAAGCCCCGAAAAACGAGCATGTTCAGACAAAACTCCAATCCGACGAACACTCTATGGTGACGATACTAACAGTGCTCATCTATTACTCGTCGATACCCCGTGGCGATATTACTGTCTCCTCCGACATAACCCACATTAACAGAAATGGTACTTGATTGTACTACTCGGCCTACTCAACCCATATTCGAAGCCGACCATCCCTATGGATATCGGTTAGAAAATACAGTGAATCGAAGACAACGAGATCTGGGTTCTGCAACGACGTGTGAGGATAAGTGATTTCAGTAGTAAGCACATAAGAAGGAACTTCGCTTAATTGCTACGCATCATTTTTCTGTCCGGTGCACTTTTCCATAGCTTCTTTGTATTGTACTTTTACTCCATTTTAGTTTTGTATCACCACTAGAGTCATCTTCTCTTACCGATTCAAGCTAATACTGTAAAATTCCTATTCCAAAGTCCACCGTTCGTCTTGCTCACGTGGACTATATTAACTGCTTCCTCGTAGTCTCGCGAAAAAACACGACCATCAAGTGGATAGCCTTCCTGTTGTGCGTTTGACATCACGTGGAACCCAGTCGCTGCCGCCCTTTGCCTATCCGTTATCGGTAAGGCGCATTACATGCCCGACCCACGTGCTCTTCGACATCTTAGCGTAAACGGCAGCGTATGTGACCTTTGGTTGGAAACATCGGTTGTAATTTCGCATTTCCTCTCTCACTTCTATGATACGGAATGTTACGACTACCACTCTATTGGTCGTGGCTACGAAAACGTTGATTTCTTCTTCATTTGTTTCAGGAATAAAACGTCTTATCATTTTCAATAAATGGTATAGCAACTACCTTATTTTGTGAAATGGGTGAAAAAGTGACTTATCACTGATGCATGTCACGAGTGGACATAGAAGAATATGAGCACGGACACTGATCTTTGCTCAGCATTTAGTTGTGAAATAAACTATGTAATCAAACACTAGTTGAAGGTGGACTCGCGTGCTAACATCAGTAGGCTAGGAAGAAGTAAAATTCACGCGTAATGGTTGGCTTGAAACATGTGGTCTTATTCTTTTCCAAGAAAACAAAAAACGATGGCATTGAATAGATTCTGTTTTGTTGGTAAGGATGTGCTTTACTTCCACATGAGTTGTATCGTTCGAGAGTCCCGACTCCAACAGTGATTGTCTTTCTTCTTAAATTTTTTGAGGAAGAACTTTTTTTGAAAGATATGAGCGCTCAATTCCGACAAAACTTTCACTAATTTCCACGCCCTCATCCGAACCTGTCTTTCTCTGCTGATCTAGTTTTTATCTTCACATTAAATCCGCCGTTCAAGAATTTGTTGAAGTTTTCAGTACAAACGAGATCTTCGTCATCTTCACAAAATTTATCAAATTCCATACATCAACTGCTGATATTGGTAAGTAATCAAGAAATGCAATACGTAGGATGGCAAGATGGGGTGACGGAACTTCGTAGGAGTTTTTTTGAGAGGACGAATTGGTACACGACAAAGACAACTCCATCAATATATGCCGTAATAGCTCAACTAAAACGTTATTGGTTCGATCATCAAGTGAATGATAGCATTCTTGTTCGTTTGTCCTTAAAATGCGATCATATTACAACGATGATAAGATATTTGCAAAACACCGGACCGCAGGTGTCTGTTTTGGCAATCGAACACGCCGTTACCCTCTGCGAGCGCCGACGCGTTCACCACCACACCATGCGGGTCCTTCGTTTCGCGTGTCTCTCAGGCTCCCCAGATCAATCCCGCTAACGGGTGATTGCTGATGGCAAAAGATCGATAGAACTAGCTGAGAGATAGGCGAAAGAAAGGACCCGCATGGTGTGGTGGTGAACGCGTTACTCTCCAGGAAAGACAATAACGCGTTCGTTCCCCACCTCAGACACCTGCGGACTTGAGTTTTGCAAATATCTCAGCATCATTGAAATTATATTTCGCAATATATACCCTGCCATTAAAAAGAGTAGGGACTAAATAATAAGTCAAAATTGTGATTATAACTATTGTTTAAATCAACCCTCGTAGTATAACGTGTGCAGCGCTATGGTTAGAGGTACTCTGCAATGCTCACGTAGTCGTTGGTTTGATCCCGCATTACGGCTCACTGCCTTCCCATCCCTCCAAGGGCGACAGAGGGTGTTTGCTGCCTTGGTTGATTGCTGACAGCAGCGATGGAGTAAAAACATGGCTAAGAGAAAAGTAATACAAGAACCTCGTGGTTGTATTTCACATGACATTTAGAATAAAGACTGCACATAACAGGACCTTGTAAGGCAAATATCGATAATGATTTCCTTCAAAAGTTGCAACCCTATCGTCTATTTCTTCCAACCCATTCCCAGATTTTAAGTACCAATTTCAACGAAGTTCAAGGTTTTTCGCAGGAGCCTGAACTCAATCTTATCTCCCACGCCCGACTTTCTATTAACCTCGGCATCGATTGAATAATTCTTTCTACTTCTGTTCAGCAAGGCGAAATCCGCCGAAACGTCAGCTTCTACGTAAATAAAGAAATAAAATAACGCCTCGTGTTTGCTGAACAGAAGTAGAAAGAATTATTCAATCTTATCTCACTGGGTGAGTTATGAAATCTCTGCGAATGGTCTTAATTTCTTTTCTGACCCTATTAGGTTGAGTTAGTGCGGAGGTCAAGAATGTGACAAAATTTGAACCAATGCATCTCCAGTAAACACAACTCGCATCCTACAATAATTGTTAAGAAGTCAGGTTTGAGATCAAAATTTATTTGTTTAAAATAAAAATGCATCGAATATGTGATCACTTGAGCTGGCGCAGTTGCAGAAATGTCAGCACGAACCTAAGATAACAAGAACATGTTCTTTGAGGGAGACTTTGCAGAGAAGAGCGAGGCGAAGCATGAGGTCGAGCGACTCTAATGAAGATGATTACTACCAATACTTACTGTGGAAGAAGTACAGACGCGAAAAATTAAAGCGACGCAGATTTGGGAGCACGTAGTACGCACATCTTATTCGTAAACATCTTGCATATTGATCGTCAAAATATGAACCAAGCGCACCAGTTCCAGTGATACTTCATCGGAGTTCACACGGTATCATCAGCGCTACAGCAGACCATATCCGCAGTACTATACATCACCATACTACAGTTACAGGTACCTAGTTAGTTAAATATTTCATTTATTTCGTTGCTCTGAAACTGTCATCATTGGAATTAGTCACATTCCCTTTCTGCGGTGAATTCGACTGCGATTTTTAGATCTGAAAGTTGATTCCGATGTTAATACAGGCAACCTTTGCGTGCAATGAATGTAAGTTCTTTGGCTGTCTTTTAAATTTTGGTCCGGCTGGGAAGCTTTTTTGAGATCTCTCACAATGTCGTTTTGTTCATCTCGAAATCCACTCTAATGTTCTTCTCGTTCGCGTTTGTTCTTTCTTCTCATTGTATGACCGATGCATAGTTTTACTAGCTAGACTGCGAAAACCGAATTACCATTCAGTGCGCCGGTTCATCCACGGACGAAACACTATACTAGTCTGGTACGAAACTGGTGTTGTACTCAAGTTCCTCGATGTTCGGTTGCTGGCTAAGGAGTTAACCTATGTTTTTTGCAACAACGTATAATTTCGCAAAATCAGTCGTTTGTTCAGTGCTGATTGATCAGTGGATACTACCGAACCCTGTACATCATCACTTCCAGTGGCTAAAGGCTGTCAATTTGGATTGGGTTTGGGCTTCTTCTGATAAATACTTTTTCAACTGATTGTGGATACTACACATGGAATAAATTTTAGTGATCCACCTAGAGCAAACTTCCATCGTAAATTGATAGCTTCATCGCTCTATGATCGTTTACAAATCAAACAATGCAGCTGCGATTTTTGGATTCTCGATCTACAGTTTAGTGTCAGTCCGGAACAAGCCAGAATTCCAAGTTCTTGCTATTGCTGTCCTATAGACAGATGTGTCTACACTACTTGATTTCAAAACTGTTCAAGTTTCTGAGATATTTGCGGTGGGGAACGAACGCGCTATTGTCCTTTCCGGGGAGTAACGCGTTCACCACCACACCATAAGGGTCCTTCGTTTCGCCTTTCTCTCAGCTAGTTCTATTGATCGACGCCATCAGCAATCACCCGTCAACGGGACTGATCTAGGGAGCCCAAATCGGCAACGAATCTAGTTAAGCTGAGGCTGAAGTCGAAATCACAATCTTAAGCTTTTTATCTACTGCCTACTATAATTTTTAACGGCAGGCTATCATGTAGCATCAATAGAACTAGCTGAGAGAAAGGCGAAGCGAAGGACCTGCATGGTGTGGTGGTGAACGTGTTACTCTCCGGAAAGGACAATAGTGCGTTCGTTCCCCACCGCAGACACCTGCGGTCCGGAGTTTTGCAAATATCTCAGCATCATCTTAGTTGTATTTCACATGATAGTCTGCCGTTAAAAATTATAGTAGGCAGTAAATAAAAAGCTTAAGATTGTGTTCAAGTTTCATCTGTTCTTTTTGCCATACCACCTATCGAAACTATCAGCAATGAAAAAAAGAAGATGTATTAAAAACAAATAATATTCCAGCTATCCCAGTTACGGCTACGCTTCTCCATACCAATACAATGGAGGCTATGGTGGCTATAGCGGAGGATTTGGTTATAACGGTGGTTACGGTGGTGGCTTGTTCAGTATCGGTGGAGGTAGACAGTTTGGTATCTCCACACCAATTGGAGGATTTGGATATAGTAGTGGATTTGGAATCGGCATAGGTTAATTCCGTTATTAAACGCATAAGATATCAATGAGACCTTGGGATGTAGATATTTCGCAGCTACTACTTCTACTTCCTCGGACATATTTTATCCAAGAATGCAACAATTTTCCTTTTATTCTGTATCCGTTTATATGTATTCATCCTATTTGTATTACATTTACTGGGTCTAACTGATCAAAGTATGGCAATGTTGTAGTAAAGTTTGTTGGAGACTACGAAATTGTGCATTGCTGCCAAACGCCTTTTTCTATTACCAATATTTCTCTCGATGATGAAATACAAGATAAAGTTATTACTTAAAAAAGCAAAAACGATGTCTACAACAAACTGTGATTATAATCAGAACTGATATAGGGAACATTTGTGTACGACTCTGGAATTCTGTGAATCCAATGATCAGTATTGATCTGTCTGATGGGCTTACAAATCCTCGCGTAAGATTAATGCCAGTTAATTGAGACCTATCAAATAATTTGGAATTGGAAATTGGAGTTAGTCCATATCACAAACCGCGAGTGTTACACGAACGTTTTTAAATTTCCCAATGCAAAGCACATGTTAGGATTTTATAGTAAAAACGTACCTCTACACTAACCGGATAATGCCATTTTCCATAACCTTAAAAAGACCAACACATAAGAATGGTCGGCGCAGGATTAAGACCTACACCTTTAAGGTTTTATATCTCAGCTCTGAATAAAGTCTAGCATCGAAATAAAATAGTCACAATCTGCACATTTTTGCGAATGAGGAAAACTTCAATATTGTGGTTATATAAAACTGCGGGGTTCTGGAGGCCATGAAGTCGTTAAAATGTCGGCCTCGATCGTTGCACTTTTCGGAAGATATCCAAATGCCTGAATAAGTGGTAGTCGGAAGGTGACAAGTCTGGCGAGTAAGGTGGATGAAGTAAGGTTTCGTTGCCTAGCTCGTCCAACTTTTGCAGCGTCGATAGTGCGGAATTTTGTCATACCGGAACAGTTCAGATGCTTATGCTGTCCTTTTGAAAGTTTTCAAACAATCATGCGTGTATTTGCTTCCACTAAATCCTTCGATCCATCATGCTTAGTAGCACAACGTCCTCGACTTCCTCACTTTCAGCTCCTTCTCCACAATGAAACTTTTCCAAACCAATGTACTGCCCAATTGTTAAAAATTCCTCGACGCCATATCAAACTAATGTTTCGAGCCCCTTTGACTGCACTACGTCCGTTCCCAAATTCGTAGAAGTAGGTCAGACGAGAATGCTGCTTTAAAAACCCAACTCCTACTTAGTAAAATTCGCTAAAATCGGTCATAACAGTACATCGTTCGGAAAAAAAACTTATTGCTAAAACATATACAAGAAGAAGAAAATTACGGATCCCGTCAATGTAATTAAGCAAAGAATACAGATTTCCGAAACATCCACACTATACATACATATATATATACATATATATACATGTATAAGTATATATATATGTGTACACATGTGTATGTAATGATCAGGCGTGCTCTACAATACACATGCGGGCGATTGTTAAATCTCGCGTCCCGGTCCCACCAAGTCTTCCATATCTACACGGTCGGCAAATTGCTACCAGACTTATCCGAGAGAATAGGAGCACTGCTTTCATATATCGGGCGGTCGCCAGTCATTTTTTAGAGTAGATATGCATTCAATCACGTATAACGGTGTTTGACGAAATGGAATGCATCATTCATCCCTCATAAATTGGTCGACGCGAAATCCTTACCATTTTTATATACACAAATCATATATACAAACAAATCTTAAAAGATAAAAAAATAAACACAAATTTTCACACGCATATTTTATATATATAAATTTTTTACACATTTTTTTACATGCTCAAACTAATTTATTATTCGACAAATTACTAATGTCGAAATAAACATGGGATCTGAAAAGACCTTCTCATGCAAGTGCTACTATGGAGGCCATTAACAAAATCTTACGATCCTGTTTCTTCTTCCTTCTTCTCATATTTCAAGAAGGAAGGGTAATCAATGAGGATACCAAGAGCAGTTTCTGCCATGTGACTGTCCAGCATATCTTTAAGAGAGATTCTGCAAATAATTTAAAAATTTATGTTTTACTTTATGTAGTAACCTTAAACTTTTATATCTAACCTGTCCTGGATCTTTGGATTCACCATGTCAAAAATTTCATCCACAATATCGTCAGCAACACAATCCGACCCTCCTTCCAACAATAACAAATTCGTCAACATGCTTTCTGCCTGCAAATGGCCCCGGTAACAAAAGCACCATCTAGTTTAACACTACAAAGACTGTAAGCGCTAAGTACAGAGATACCACTGCTTTAATTAGTCCATCTGACCTCATTTCTTGGGATCAGATCAACCGCATGAGTTCATTTCGTAGCAATCACGGTGAAAAAACAGCAGTAAACTAGCTAAAACAACTAGCAGTAAAGCAGTCAAAAATGAATTTCGACGTCGGACTTTTATGTTTCCAATTTTGTAATCTAGTCAATGCTTCTCTACATTCTTATGAAATTTTTCTCTTCTTAATAGTAATTGTAGCTGTGCATAAATTTTATATATATATATATATATATATGTATATATATATATATGTATATGCGTGTATGTGCGCATGTACACGTACAGGTATACGCAAGTGTATATGCACACGTATATATACATATATGTATAAAAAAATAAATAGTGAAGGTACCATTAACTTTATTTCGTAACGATCCAGATAGCCGTCATCCCTAAGGTCAAGAACACCGAACAACCACTTTATAGACGCTGGCTGCTAGAATATAGAATGTAAAAGGCTTTTTCTAACGCTGCATTAAATTTGCTCACATTTCTCGTACGGAAAGCAATATCAAGCTCCACAAATCCACGGAAATCCATTTCTTGACATGACCTTTCGCCGTATAATGTCTGCGTAGCAAAGATTCGTTCTAGGAACAGAGGCGTAAGAGCGCCGCTGGAAAATTACCGCGTTCATATAAGGAAATGTGGACACTATGTCAATCACTGCCGCATTATATAAACAAAAAATGGCTTTTTCTAGTATATCTACACCGCAACCTAGTCTTTTTTGTTAAATTAAAGTGCATCCTGCATAGACAGTAATCTAAACTGTATAAAATATCAACTGCGATTGTGAATTATCATAAGCACATAGACACACTCACTCTCGTATACTACGACATTCCTCGAGAGAGACCATTCCAGACCAGCTATTATCGCAGTGACGAAACTGCTGAAGGACTCGCCAGAAATTGTTTAGTGAGCACCTATATAGAATTATATGAGGCATTAGTAGAAGTGAATAGAATAAGAATAGGATTAGAATTAGAAGTAGAAGCACCTAGCAAATTGAAATTCTAACAATGATCTTACCACGAAGTCACAGCATTCCCCTCGTACTCTTCATCACATCGCTTCTGATCAACGAGAATTTCAAATATATCGTCCAGTAATATAGTGAACGTGAGATCCTGTATTGGGATATGATTATGAAACGTTAACACCAGGAATGTAAACACCCACGACACCTTCAATTACATGAGATAAAAGGAAACATAGTACATTGTAGTAGTCTGTCAAATTTACATAGTTCTAAAAAGGATAAAGCCCTCGGCGTTGATCAATCCTTGAGGGATGCACCATACATTCGACTTTATTAAGCATCGTTCGAGGTGATTGAAGGCGTATCTCGCCATTACAATGACTCGCGGTGGCCTAGCGATGTATCGAGCCAGTGCTGCTATCCTCCCAAACAGGGGTGATAGCAATTTTCCCACCCCTGAAAGATGGAAGGGTTGATGAGCCATGGTCGCAGGTACCGATCCTATGTGTGTTGCAGGGCGCCCCCGACCGCTACGCCACAGGTGCCCAAATTTACATGTTTATGAAACAATTACAACTTGGAATAGTTGACACGAAACAACTGATGATAATGAAAATTCAAAAGGATGCAGGGACATAAGAAAAGAGAGAATTAAGAAGGGGAAATATACTAAATACTTGTAACTATGCACCTGTATTAACACCTTTCCTGCTCTTTGTGGATCTAGATGAAAGAAAACGCAGCGCTCGACGAAAACGGCGTAGTAGAACGGATAGTCTTTCATCCCCTGAATATTTCTCTAAATAAGCAACAGAAAGAAAATGGCAGGAAGAAAACAGAACACAACTCACTTCCCATACAATTTTGTTGGAGATCTCGGTCATCAAAAAGTCGATGAATTCCTGACGATATAAAAGATTATGATTTTTCGCACATTACGCTTCCCTTGATTCTTTCAAAAAAACTGCAATAAATCTTCAGTACTAGTTGGAAACATACATTTGAACTAATATACTCGATGGATTTGGCCACACTTTGTAGAAGGAGACGTTGTTGTAACCGTCGGCAACATGTATGAAGAAAGTCTACTAAAACGGAAACGACTACTTGCTGTAAAAACCTTTAAAACAACGAAACGTGATAGATTACTTAGTATTTGAGACGAAATACATCCATCTTGATTATTACTATGCATCACCAATTTGTTAATTACAGCGGAGCTAAAACATTCGCGAACCGCCTGCGGTGACTGAGAAAGAAATTGCTGAAAGAGCTCGTAATACTTACAACGCCAATTATTACAAAATAATGTGACTTACGTATAATTTTGCTATTGTAACGCGGCTCTCCTCGGTAGTTCCCTTCGTTTCCCGTTGTAACTGATACGAGAAAGCCTACAAGGATATCATATTGTTCAGGTGCATACGGTGGTGCATGGTGCAAGCCTCTGATGGTACTAAGCTAATCGACATTCCAAGAGCTTGAACAGCAAACCACAAAAAAACATTTCATGGTCACCAGGATCTCCTGCTCCGTGATCGACTGTACGTACTCTTTGTCAATAGCTCTTTGCTTTGCTGCTTCGTACACTTTCTCGCATATACCCATAGCATTTCTCTCAAAAGTTGGAGATAAACATTTCGACGAGTTCTCGATCCCCTTGAAATTGACATTCAAGTTATGTTCGCTAGAGTACACGATATAATCACCTACAACCTCTTGTAGAATTTGCTTCAAGCAAACAGTATCCAATCCCTCTGAAAGAGACAACGATGGAACATTTAATTCGTCCGCCACACTGAAACTCATTGGACATTGGAAAGTTCATTCAAGCAAACATCACTACAGTAGATACATGTGCGAACCAGATCAATGAAAGGAAAACTCACGTATCCAAGCTTGGTGTAACAGACACTGACATAGCGAAGGTAGCTACAAAATAGGGCTAGAACTTCACGACGAGAAAAAGCAATGAAACAAAAGTCTAAATTTATTGGCAAGGAGAGCCAATTATTACAGCAGAAACAAATGAGATAAAGCTTTATTCGCTCTCGAAAAAAATTTACAACAGAAAGCATCCTCATCGAAAAGCACCATTTATCGGAAATCCAGCAGTATTCGACTACATGCATCTGTAATTCAAGACTGTTTATTGGATTTCGTGAAGGAAAAGGATTCTATAAAAAACGACCTTTTTGGCATGAAAACAATCAAATGATGTCTGACCAAATACTTGTCGCTTCATTATCGGAATACTCAGAGGAAGGACATTCAGAGTTTGAGATCAACGTAGCAGGATTCTCCACTAAAACAATACGAAGGATGTTGTAAGGAAATAGAGCAAAAACATACGTTAAACCCATATGAAACAATAACGGTATAACATCCCAATGGTTTACCGCCTCATCGTGGTTGGAATTCCTACGTGTTGCATTGCGATGCACAGCGGTTATTTTATCACCTCAACGAAGCGTCCCAAGCTGAGAAGGACTCTGAGGTTTACATGCGGAAGCCCAGTTAAGAGTGAACCAATACCAAGATCCACTCCCGTCCTGGTATCAAACTATCCGCATGATGGTGAATCTCCTTCTGATCCAAAATGGCGGCGACCGACTGGGGTGGTGACAAAGTGGGAAAGACTTTGGCCAAGCTGACCGCGGGATTCCAGGATCAATAGTATTTCTTAGACAAACAAACTAAGAAGAACATGACAAGAACTCTATTCGACTAAGGTCTCGAAATCCTCTTCTTTTTAGAGCCGGAATGATCAGAGTCGATGTTTCACACATGGTCGTCACCGTGATGTGCGCCTTCCTATTGCTGTCGATTCGAATCTTCTTGATCATTAGCAGCTACATGATACCCGCTGGTTCAGGGTGGATTACCCGTTTAAAAAACAGATTCCTACCAACGGATAATAATACCAACAACCGTCCTGTATATAAGAGCATCGCCGGAAAAACATTCGACTCGATACGACAATGAACACATCACATCAAAAGCACAAACGATTTTACCATCGGCTCGGCACTGAGGAAGATGAAGGGGTAGAAATGTTAACCGAATAAAGCTTATTTCATCAACTGTGTTAGCCGAATAGTGGCGAATCCCTTAGCCAGTATGAGCCACAATTTATCGCGATTCATCGCTTAAGCAATTAAAAACTACGCGCTGTCCTGAGCCTCGTTTCGATTAAACCATGCAGTTATTGTATCACCTGTCACCTGTAGTCCCGGTAATCGTCTAGTGACCGAAGCGGGCGCCAGTAAATCTTCCATTTTCCCTGTCGCGTGCAAGAGTAGTCCAGTGGGTTCTGCTCGCTCTAGGAACTCGTCGAGAACCATATCTTTCTTAAAGGCTCCATGTAAAGAACTCTGACCATCGGTTCGGTGGTCTTCCTGCACTACGTTTGACACCCCGAGGAATCCAGTCACTAACGGCTCTTGTCCATCGGTTGTCATTCATACGCATTACGTGTCCCACCTTATCTTCGACTGTTTGACGTAAAGAACGGCATCTCTGATTTTTGATCGTTAACGCAGGTCGGAGCTTTGCAACCCTTCCTTTACTTGTGTGTAACGGGATACTCCTAGTATCGCCCTTTCGACTGCGCGTTCGATAACGCTGGGTGACCTTTCATCCTGCTTACGCAGACACCAGGCTTCTGACGCATACGTTAGGGCAGAAAGCACCGTTGAGTCGAAAAGGTGGTCACGGAGTCGGGTGTTCCTTTTTCTCTTCACTACATGCTCGATGCTTTTGAAAGCTCTCCAAGCCGCTCGCTTCCTTCCGCCCAGCTCTGGAGCTAGGTCCTTCATCACATTGATTTCCTGTCCTAAATAGATATAACTGGAGCACCCGGAGATATTCGTTAAGCATACGTTCCGCTTGGCTAATGTTTGGTGTTATGAATACGTCATCGGCAAAGCGAAGATGGTGTAACTGCCGACCATCGATTTTCACTCCCGTAGTATCCCATTCAAATGTTCGCATGACGATCTGATGGTAGGCGGTAAATAATTTTGGCGAGATGGTATCACCTAGCCTAAACCCTCTTTTGACGTCAATGTTAATATCGTTGTAGAATGGTGATGCCTTGGTTGTGAAATTTTTGTACAGCCCACGAAGAATCTTTATGTACTGAATAGGGACTCCTTGACTATCAAGGACTTCCAAGACTGCTTCTATCTTAGTTGAGTCAAAAGTCTTCTTCAAATCGAGGAAAGTGAGACAGAGCGGTCTTTTGTATTCTCGCGATACTTCAATGAGCCTAGCTGTCGTGTGGATGTGGTCCATCGTACTAAATCCTTTTCGAAACCCTGCCTGCTCACATGGCTGTCCTTCGTCCAATGTTCTGTCCATCCTGTTTAGGGATGACTCGAGTGAAACGTTTGTAGACGACAGACAGCAAGCAGATTGGGCGATAGTTGCCGATATCGTGTAAGTCACCCTTCTTGAACAATAACACGGTCTTGCTGGTCTTCCACTGAGTAGGTACCTTGCATTCAGACAAGTAACGTGTGAAGAGTCGAGCTAGTGTGTTTACGAGGACTGGCGGAAGGTTCTTCAGGTGTTCTGGTTCTATCCTGTCCGGACCTGGAGCTGTTTGAATTTTCACCGACGAAATGGCATGTCGGATTTCGGAAGGGAGAACCGGTGGTACAACATATTCATCCTCCTTTATTTCATATGAGAGCAGGAGGACTTGGATGTTGAAGAGGTCTGCGTAGTAGTCGTGAATTATTTTCCTCATTGCTTTCCTGGACACTGTAACTGTTCCGTTTAAGCGCCGGAGCGCAATCATTTTGGTCTTGTAATTGGCGAAGCTTCGGAAGGATTTGCGAATGCTTCTCCCACCCTCTGCAGCTTCGACCATTACTGCTGCTCTCCTCTCTTTAAGATCTTCTTTTATCGCCTGTCTGCTTTGTTTTGCAAGTTCGGACGTTAGTTCGCGGTTGCCTGCAGCTCGTGCGATTCCACGCTTGCGTATCAGCTCGAGTGTTTCTGGAGACAAACGCCTCTTGGTGACTTTCGAGCTCTCAGCTTTTATAGCGCTAAAGTGAAGATGTTGAATGAGCCGCTCGTATTCTTCATTGATGTTGTCGAGAACGGCATCTTCCCAACAGCAGACTTGTGAATTGATTAAATCTCAGTTCGTGATGGTTCAGGAACTTCGTTTTCGAATTTAGCGACTTTTCCTCCTTTTCGCGAAAAATAAGAAAGAAAAAATAGAGAAATATAATCTTGCACGAAGGAGGCGGTGGTCTGTTCCTGTGTCGAATTTTGGGACAACAGCGACATCGGTTAGGCAAAACTTTATGTTTATTATGATGTGGTCTATTTCGGAATAGCACTCTCCATTGGGAGACTTCCACGTCCAGCGTTGAGCGTGGGGCTCCTGGAATTGCGAGTTACTATGGATGTCTTGGTCGTCATGATAAAGCCAGAGCCGCTCACCTTGTTCGTTCCATTCTAATCCGTGGGCCCCAATGTGACGCTCTTCAGACGTTCTTCTTGGTCTAATCTTTGCGTCAAAATCTCCAATGATTACCTTTGAAGAATGTATGATTTTCTCTGTAGAACTTCTCCAAGTCCTTACAGAACACTTCGACTTCTTCTTCGTCATAGTTTGTTGCTGGAGCGTAAACGACGAAGATTGCCAAATCTGGTATTGATCCACATCTTTTAGTCGTCAACGTCCGATTCGGGTTGTTAATTGTTCGAATGAATCAATGTTCATAGACAAACTCGTGTTGACGCCGACGCCGCCAACTCCTCTACTGTCGCATGTTCCAAGGAACAGTTCTTCTCCTGTGTCATAGAAGGCGTTGAATGGGTGGCATCGTCTCGTCTGAGCCAGGCCAATAACGTCGCACTTATCCTTCTTGCTTGCATAAGCAAGTCTTCTATCAAAGACTCGGATGCAAGTGTACGTCCATTGTAGGTACAGATTATCATAGTAGTTCTTTGAAATCCACGCAGCTTCCATTGGCCCTGAGATTTTAGCACCCTCTCCGTACTCGTCCTATCCAACGCTGCGAAATTAGGGTCTCTTTCGGGGTCAGGGAAATGAGGCCCTTTTTTTTTACTATGTCTAGCATTGTTGGTACCCACATATAGCTTGCTGGACTCTGAACGTGGAGGCTGGGTATACTCACGGGTAGTTTGCCAGGCTTTCCCAGAGTGGACATGGAGCTTCTTTGTTGGAGGCGACTCCTAACAGCCTCCCATATAGTTCACAGTCACTTGATTGCAGGCTTTTGGCCGAATTGACAAGTAGAATACAATCCGCATAAGCAAGAACGCACCCACACACGCATACATGAATACGCCTAACAAATACAGAAAGTAGGTGCCAAATCAGGGCAGCAGAAACTAGGAGTCCATCCCCTGGATCCACCTGCGTCTCAGGGAAGTAAAGGTCGCTTTTGGTCCGCGATTAACATACTATCCGCCACCTGAGGACGAGCCACATAGCCTCGCCACTAACCGGCTCGAGAACCCACATATGAGGGAGATCCGCGGAACAAAAAACTCCGGACCGCAGGTGTCTGCGGTGGGGAACAAACGCGCTGTTGCTCTTTCCGCTGCGTGTCATCCTTGCGCAGGGGCCACGCTAATCTCTTCTGTACTGTTCCAATTTTAGTATATGCTCAGGAAAGTATATGTTCAGGAAGGAATGATAACAATATTGCCTCAGTAAACCGGGTTCACGTGTATTACTCAAGAAAAGAAATAGTTGCGAGCACGAATTAAACAATACGAAGCAGAATGAAAAATGAATTTAGAGGCTTATTAAGTAGTAAAAGTACTTGATGAACAGAAGAGCGCCCATTCCGGCCAACGATTCTTCGAGCTCCGCAACCACTCGTTGAACTCCGCATGTCTACCAAACTCAATGGCTAGGCTTCGAAGAGACAAAAGACGAGCCAGTGCGATCTTTAAAAATCAGTTAAAGAAAAACATCAGAATTAACAGTGAAAACGAAAGACCTATAAGACATACTCCATATAGTAGATTAGATTCCTCGTCCTCTGCACCCGTCATCAGCACCGAGACTTCATCGAGCAGTGATGCCATATGAAAATCAAAATTGTCGTTAAGGCGTACACGTGCGCGATCGATAAAACGGATTTGAGGATTCTGTTAAGAAAAGGAAAGATGATAAATAGGAAAATAATAAAATAGGAAAAAATAAAATAAGAAACATTATTTAAGCCTCCTTAGGAAGAAAAGATCCAAAAACGTTTTGCCTGGTAAGTTACATAAATTCTTACTTTTACTTTTACTTTGGATTCCTCTTCAGCACCTTCCAATTCAGCGAGCCATTCCGATATATTTTCTTGGCGAATTTCCTGTCTTCGTCGCTTAACTTTTACTACTTCTTGCAGATTGAAACCATTTTCATCAGCACCTAGCGCGTTCAGAACATGTCTAAACTAAAATACTAAGGAAGAGAAAACCAGTTAACTTTGCCAGGCATAACTGTCTTATTCTACGTATTTTTGTTGAGCAAACGCGAGGTGTTACTATTCTTTGTTCACGATTAAGCTGACGTTTCGGCGGATTTCGCCTTCTTCAGAGCCTGGAAAGGTCAAGTTGATAGCAATCCACTCGGCCAGACGCCTCCATAACCAAACAAAGAAACCCCAAACCAAGATTTCAATCACTTTGAACACAGCTTTGCACACTCACCGCTTTCTGTGAGGTTTCCACTAAGTATGTCACGTAGAGACCAACCGCACAGAAATCACGTGGAAGTATAATGTGCCCCTCACATCAGAAAAGCAGTTTTATATACTGCCCTATATCACGCGTGATAATTGATAATTGTCTTATTCTAATTCGAAGTGACATTGTTTGCATGGGTTACCTCGCACTTTCCAGCAATTCCGAACTTGGCTCAAGACCTTGTTTGATAAACGAAGATGGAGATACGAGCTCACTTATTTTCGAATCCTCTCCTAAACATGAAACCTGAGATATCTAAACAGCGGATTATGATTTGTTATGAAATTAACAATATTTGTAACGAACCAGTATCGACCTTGCTATTCAATGCTTTCAATTTCAAAGCCGTGCACTGTCGTTGAAAGAATGGATCCAAAACACACTCAGGCTCCAGCGAACTAAGAGTGGTAAGTAATTAGGCAGATGATATAACACAAAAACTATGAAGAATAATGATCATATTGCCCGGTTTAATTTTGTTCCCACCAATTTTCAGAAATAAGATGGAACATACCCATTCTCAGTACTGAACTGCATTACATCGATGAGTTCATCAACAAGATTCGCTTGCTGGTCTGTAATTATATATCTAAAATCATCCAGCAATTGTATATGTATATATGTATACGTGTATATACGTATATATATATACATATATATATGTATACGTATACATACATATGTACATATTTACATATATATATGCATATATATATATATATATACACATACATATATGTATGTATGTATGTATAATCACGCACTGAGCCCTACTGGATTCATCGTGTTGAATTCGTTATAAATTAGTAGCCACTTAAGAAAATAAACTTCTCCATGCGAAAAATTCAGCTACATTTAAAGATGGTATTTCATAAGTTTGCAGGTAAAAGTTATCTCTGATTACGTCGATACTTGGACGACTCGTCTTCACTGGTTGTGCAGGCCCAGCATAACCCTTTTTCTTCGGGATTTTGCTGTTTTAGCCACTGTGGTACTCTGGAGTCCCGAGGTCCGCCCAGCCAAAGTCTGTCCCGTGTCGTCACCATTACAGGCAGTCGCTGTCCCTGTGGATCAGAGGGAAATTTGCCACCATGCGACATCAAGACGGTGGTGGATCCTCGTATTGGTTTATTTTTAACTGGCCTTCCTGATGGAAACGCCAGACTCTTTCGTAGCGTAGGACGCCCTGCTGAGGGGATGAATCTGCCTGTACATCGCAGCCCGAGACCCAGGAACAACTTCCAGCCACGAAGAGCACTTAATGGCACTCTTAGAAGAATGCTTGAACTGCTCAATCTTCAGATGGTCCGGAAAGTACTACACTCAAATAATAGGGTTGGCAATGGAACAACGACTGGCTCCAAACCTTGCCATTGCATTTATGTCCAAGGTGGAAGCACCGGTGACTGATCTAGGGCCGCTACTCTACTGTAGATATGTAGACGACTGTTCTGTCCCTTGCTCAACACAAGAGGAAATGGACGAATGTTTCGAGTTGTTAAATGCACAATCAGAGTATATCAAGTTCGCCCGAGAAAAGCCGAAAGAAAAATGGCTTCCATTCCTAAACGTCCAAATTCACCTATCAGAAAATGGCTACATTACAAAGTGGTACCGAAAACCAAGTAGTAAAAACATCTTGGTTCATTACCTCTCCTCTCACCCCTCTCACACTAAAAGGGCGCTTGTGAGAAACATGTATCGAACAGCTACCAGCGTTTGCACAGGAAGACAGCAGAGAGTGGAGTCCCGGAACTTGGCACGGCAAATAGCCATTTCTAATGGCTACGAAACTGTAGCTCGAGATAGGTGTAGAGAAAACCACAGGTACCCTAACGATAACTCGAGCGACAACAAGGTTCCGTTTATACTGCCCTTCATTTCAAATGAAGTAAGTGCAGCTACAAAACGCTGTTTAAGAAGGACGGGTCTAGAGAATTCGGGAAACGTAGTTGAAATACCACCGAGTAATCTTAAGCGCCAGGTAGTTCGTAACAGCCTATATGACCGTCCATGTGCAACTCAAAATTGCACAATTTGCCCCAGTGGTAAAGACGGTGATTGCATGAGCTCGGGCATAGTTTATCTCATCTCCTGTAAGACGTGAGGTGACGAATACATTGGCGAAACGGGCAGACCCCTTTGTGTCCGCATAAAAGAACACCTAGCCGGCAAACATAGACCAAATACCCCGCTAAGCACGCATAGGACCCAGAGACATAACGGGGACGACTTCGAAGTATGTGTCACGATCCTCGCACGCGAATCAAGAACACAGGAGCGAAAAACTCTCGAGGCACTCTGGATTAATTCCAGAAATCCGAAAATGAACCGCAGGGAAGAATGCCTCATTATCACGCGTGATATAGGGTAGTGCATAAGACCGTTATTCTGATGGGAGGAGCACATTATGTTTCCATGTGATTTCTGTGCCGTTGGTCTCTACGTGACATACTTAGTGGAAACCTCATAGAATTGAAATCTTGGTTTAGAGTTTCTTTGTTTGGTTATGGAGGCGTCTGGCCGAGTAGATTGCTATCAACTTGACCTTTCCAGGCTCTGAGGAAGGCGAAATCCGCCGAAACGTAAGCTTATTCGTGAATAAAGAATAATAACTCTCGCGTTTACTCAACAAAAATACGAAGAATTACTTGATCAATGCCGAGGTTAATAGAAAGTCGGTCGTGGGAGTTACAAGAAGCTTTCCTGACGAGTCCACTGACCGATAATGATCTGATTGCTAATTTATTGTTCCTCATATCAAATAGTTACAGTTTACCGTATGGTTACCGTATGCAACGAATGCATAGAAAACTTATCGGAGCACACTCAAGTTGTAAAACACTTACAAATACTGACAAAAATGTGGTTAGGATGGGTCATTGCAACAACCATCTACTAAGTAGCAGGATCATGAATATTCTAAGTACGAGAGAGAGAAACCTCTCATATAATTCTGCCACGTTCACGGTCCTTTAATTACCTTCTATTGCTTAAAAACTAGCAATACTGCTATCTACATGAAACAAAACGTCCTTTCGCACGCCGGATTTGAGCGTCGAGCGTTAGGTATTAAGAACCGCGTGCCTACTTATCAAGAATATATGAACTTAATTATCAATCCCGAGGTTAACAGATGGTCATGGGAGTTGTTACAGAAAGTAGCGGACAAATTTCTTATTCTATTCTCGACCTGAGCTTTTTCTTTTTAGATACACTTACGACTCGGTTTTGGACAACTTGCACAAACGTTGACAAAATTGAAAGGACGCATGTCTTCTGCGAATGGCAATCGGAATGCTTTCAAATACTAAAACACAGTTTTATTAGTACTACAAGTTATACGAAGCATACTTATAAACTCACAACGAGACCGAATTTTTCATCTTTGTGAGGCATTAAAGCCATTAACTGAAGGTGTTTGGCTGCATCCGGAGCATATCTGCATATGGCGATCACATCGTTTTCCAACATTGCATTTATGAGGGACAATGTGATGCGCATTGCCCTCTGAAATACAAAATCACCGTGTAAAATATCGAATACAGAGATTTCTACATGTCTGAAATTATGAAGGACAAATACGAACCAGATCTCGTTCTGAGGTCTTTTTCTCCCAACCAGGAACAGCAACGAATGAGTTATGACCCATGAAATAGCATTCCTTTATCTAAAAGTACCCAGCAAACCATGTATGATAAGGCACGAAGTAAAGAACAGAAGCTGCTCAGTGCGCGGTGGAACGATATAGGAAAAAGAAAAGTAGAGTAAAATTCTTGATTCAAAAACCAAACAGTTACTCCGAAACTGTCACAGGAGGAATGAGATTTGCATTATTACTTAGTGCTAAACGTATAAACTAGTACTAACATAATCTTTTTTTGCGAACTGTATTAGTTTCATACATCCACGCTGCTCTCCTTCGTTGAAGTTATGACAATTATATTGAGCTTCATCTTCCTCTCCAATTGGAACCTTTGTATCCCCGAAGTAATAGACTGCAAGCAAATAAAATCTATTCACTTTTATACAATTGGCTGTCAAGCAACTGATTTTATCAGTGCTTCATCTTCAAATTAGCGTCACAGACCGTACAGCCTCTGTTTCTCAAAGTTGATTCTCGTCAAATTGGCTGAGTTCGAGGCATTCATGGTATCATCATTTCTGAGTCTTGTTTGTAGGCGGGATTCCCTATGCATCTGCAACTCAACAATCAAAAGTTGTAACTACGATAAGGGAATAGATTTCTCTTAAAATGAGAGTTCCCGAGCATGACACATATTTGTTCAGGTATGTGGCTGTAATTCGAATGATTCCACAAAGCAATTTGAAGGGAATACAAATATGTATGGCTTATCGAATTCCGCATCTCATTAATCTGGCTTACACTTTTCAGTCTTCACCACGACCTTCCCAGAAATAACTTTGTGGTGCTAAAGTAATAAAAACAATTATCTACTATCTGTTTTCCTATCTCTCACATACAGAGTGCGTATAAAAAATAGGTTTCGAAGGGATGTCAGTATGTGCATAGGGGTAATGAGGTGAAGTAATCATCTTTATGTGAAAATAGGCAAAACGCTAGTAGTTGCGAACTCCTGGCAATTCAGGTTAGGTTTAGGAATAAACCCATCTCCCAAATCCATCACTCTATCTTCGTCAAAAGCATGGAAAATTTGTCTTTCATTCGTGACTAGCGCTTCTCTTGCATCGCCATATGTAAAAATGTGGGTACTTTACTGAATTATAAAACTACACTTTCACCAACCTCAATTCCATCTTCATTGACAAAAACACTCTTGAAAGGATTCTTGGCAACAGCTGTTTTTGTGTACATAGTTAGTGGAAGGCGAACTCCTGGTGCGATCTCCCAGCTTTTGCGAATTGCGCGGCTATCAACCATTGGACTAGTGAAGTGGTGAAGAGCAGAAACCATGTTCCAGAAAAAGAGGATATGAGGTTTAAGAAATAAATAAACTTCAGAATCAAGGATAAACAAACAAAGATCTTTAAAACAGCTATGGGAACGAACTTGAAACTGAAGCTAATTCCATCCGTTCGCTTGACAATCTCCAGTGGAACTGGTATTCTACCATCGTGTCCGCACGAAAAATTGTCATCGATTCCCCTGGAAACAACACAATTTCTATAATTTTAGCCTGCGTTGTTAACGAAACTATCAACAAACTTTTCGAGGAAGTTTGATTTTTTTTTTCCAGAACAGATAATTAACGGATATATAACGCTGTGAAATAGCTGATAGTCAACGACCGAATAGTAGAAATGACGTACATTCATATACAAACATGGTAAAATCATGCAAAGTAAATTCCAGTGGAAGGCATGAAAAAAGAAAACCAAACAATTACCTTTAAAAAAATTTGGTCATGCTCATTTTGACAAAAGATGAATGTGGAGAATAAGTCATGATTGACAAACCTTTTACTCTCCTATAAAAAGCTAAAAGCTCTAGGCGTTGATCAATCCCTGAGGAATACGCCACGCATTCAACTTCATTAAGCATCGTTGGAGGTGATTGAATGAATATTTGGCCTTTATAATGACTTGTGGCCTACCAATGATATATCTAGTCAGTGCTGCTATCCTACTAGACAAATCTGGTACCAATTTACCGACTCCGTAGAGATGGAAAGATTGGTGAGCCACGGGGCGCGGGACCACTGCGCCACAAGCACTCTTCTATACAAGTGCGATAAGTAAAGGAACAAAGATTATAACGCTTAGGAAAAATTGGTAAAATGACTGACACAGCAATCAGATTAACTTCCAGTGCGTTGATTTGGGTAATCAAATCTGATACATCGGCATCACGATATCCACATTCTGTGGACGGATTGGTAAGAATCTAAAATACAATGATGCGTGAGAAAGAACCCATGATATAAGAAAAAAAACGTACTGAGTAGCAACAAGAAACAAACTAAATACTTAAAATAATGCTTTTTGATTCGACAGCACTGTCACCAGAAGTCTTCTCATAAAGAAAGTTAGTCGCCACAACCAGTGCATCAACGACTGCAAAAATGTAATTGACCCATGCAACAGCATAACGGGTTTTCATCCACTATACAACGCTTACTATTCCCAGATCTTTTAAGACTGGTCGTAACTCTATGGCTGAGAAAACGAAGGTGGTCAAAGGTTGTACGCGAGAGAACATCATCATGTAGATAAACACCAGGAACTTCAAGAGAGTTCTTCGTTTCCTCGAATCCAAATAAAATGATCGCCACTTTGTCCTTCGATTGTGAGAATATCTAGATAGCCAGTTTCGTTTAAAACACAAAACACCAATCTAATTTCTGTCTGCCAACTACTTTTATAATAGGGTTCGATTTGTTACATTACCAGCCAAAAACTAAAGGAACCCATGTTTTTTGGAATGTTCTGCTTTCATGAGATTGTTATGAAAGGTTATTCGGCTACCGTTTCGATTCGATGTCTTTGTCTTCTTCAGAGCCAGATACATCCGAGTCCACTGTCCGTAGCTGTTCGCCCCTGCGTCGTAGATCTTCGTAGTTGTATCGGGCCGGATCTTCTGCAGCGTAGTACTGCTCACATGAAGACCTTGTAGCCACTTTTATGCACTACGGCTTTTGTTGATTGTCCACTGACAACGATTCGTATTAATGCTGGCAATCCATTCTACAGTATTCGGTGTTACAAGTACAATCAACTAGAATCTACCCAACCCTGAAGACGATGAAGACGTTGAAACGGTAGGCGAATAAACTTTAACAACTTCGTGGATACTGAGCAACCTAAAATAGATTTTGACTCATGCCGAAGTTAAATGATGGTTAAAAAAGATCTCGATTATTCATGCTGAGATAAAATTATGCTCGGTTTTGAAAAGGAACCCGTACGAACTTCTCATTTATTCACGATAATTTTTAAGAACCGTTTCGCGTCACCTACTAGGCTATTACTATAGTCAAACAGACGGAAATTGAACGGCGAAATCACAATTTTAGCTTTTCACAGAGTTCCAATAGCAGATATCCCTATAAGGAGCCACATATTTCGTGTCTTATAACATAGCATCTCTAATCTTCGGCGCGATTTCAAAACAGCTGCGCGGTTTGCAGTCAGTTAGAAGTTTAATGAACCCTTTTCCAGGTTTTCAAATAATGGTCATACATTGCTTTACAACCTATTCGCAGCTATATATTTTTCAGTCTTGAGAAGCTGAAAACCTTACTTTTCTTGACAGCAACCAATCCGCAGCTTCTTTTGCCACTGAGAAATAGCTCCGACCATCGACAACATTATTCATGGTACTACCACAGTCGATGACAAGCACAAGAACGCCATGTTTTTCTTTCCTAGCGGTTTTTTTCTGTGCCTTCGCTGTCGATGGTTGCTGCTCGTCAAATTCGCAGTTAGACATACTGAATAATCAATATAATAAAAAAAACTTTTTATGGGGAAAACGAGACGCATTGATAACGGCTTATGCTGGTTATGTGCGAATTCTTCTACCTCGACAACAAAATCTGCAAAGTTTCACGGCGATTTTCTAGTGAAATACAGAAGGTGCACTAGCCAACCCAACAAGAATTTCTGTGACCTTATCGCCTTAAATATCTCACTCAACTAACCACTGTTTTAAGAATTCTTAACTAACGAAGGACTTGTGCCCGTTGATATAATCTTGAAGTTTCCAACAAGTTCCTTTGTTTTTTCACTAAGAGGTGAAAATTTTGCTTCAATATAAAGCGCTGAATTATTACTGACCAGGTATGGCACTTATATAGCCGCAAAATGTTCACAATTAAGCCAGAAGCCGAAGTGGAATGACGCCAGATCCTAGGACAAATGGTAAAATGCATGCACTACTCAAACACATAGGTCTGAACAATATGTACTTGACTAAGAACACTTTTTTTCAACAAAAGACCCTAGTTCTTCGGCAAGCAGAAAACATCAGGAGTCGGTTTACGTATGGTAACGCTTTTTCCCCAAATTCCGCACTGGAAGCGTCCTACAATCAACTGAAGGAAGCTAATCAACGAAAAGCCCCTCATTGAATTCGTTGTTGGAGATGTGAGTGCCACCATATGGAACGTAAACGAGAGCAAATACATGATCGGTAAATTTGGATTAGGAGAACGAAATGAGGATGGAAATCGTCTCACAGATCTCTAGTCCGCAGAACGACTATTACTAGGCAATTCATTTTTCCAGAGGGAAGTCGTCACCGGACAAAAGCGTCATCTAGCTGTACGATACATGCGGTTATTGATCACATCCCCGTAAAATGGTGCCAGCTTCACACATCCGTAACCCCATCATTCGGTACCAGGTCCGACCATCGCCCTTTCCATGTAGATTCGGTCCAGCCCTAAACTCCTGTCATTACCCAAGAAAAACGAAACAAGTTGTGTACGGCGAGCATATTCTCAACAAAATTTTCTCCTTATACGACTGGTAAAAGGATAAAAGGATAAAGCTCTCGGCGTTGATCAATCCCTGAGGGATGTGTCATACATTCGACTTTATTAGGTGTCGTGGGAGGGGATTGAATGCATATCTCGCTTTTACAATGACTCGCGGTGGCTTACCGATGTATTGAGCCAGTGCTGCTATCCTCCCAGACAAGGCTGGTACTAATTTGCTGACCCCGGAGAGATGGAAGGTTTGGTGGGCTATGGGCGCGAGGATCGACTCTACGAATGTGTCGCATTGGCGCCTCCAACCACTGCGCCACACGTGTCCTTACATACTGGTAGATAAAGGAATAACCGACCGAAAGCTACGAGCTGTTTGACGAAGAACTTAGAACTTGTACGGATCTCGCGTAAGTTCTTCAGACAAGAAGTGCAGACTGCATCTTTATTGTCACTAAGGAGTTGCTCGAAAAGAGGACACGGAAGCCTGATCCTACTACAGTGCATCAAACACGACTGATAATAAATGCTAGCTGTAAAATATCTTTGCAGGAGGATTTGCGTCTATCTAGGTAGAAAACGTTACTGGAAGCAGCTCAAAAACGACCTAGTCCAAAGAAGTGCTGTCAAGATCTTTGCGACTGAAATACTCCGCTATCCCCACTGGCTAACGAAAATAGGATTACCACTACGTACCGCCACGATACGGAAATGATGACGAAAAAGCTCTATACCAAACTGTTTCGTCACACAACCACCGTTTCAGCCCCAAGAATCCCCTCTCCCTAGTAAAAAACCGTCTAGGATTCCACGCTCTGAAGTTCGAATTGCGATAGAAATTATGAAAACAAGCACAGCTCTGGGGTCCTAAAATATCACAGCCGATTTCCTCAGAGCTAGTGGCCACAAGCTACATGTACTTTAACACATGACATCATATCTTTAGAAGGGGAAAACCTCACATCAGTAGAGGACATCGTGCACGGTCATCCGGCTTAAGAAAGGTAATCGGAAGGATCTTCATAATTATCGTCCGATGTACATGTTGACAGGAAGCATGTAGCGCAGTGGTTAGAGGAGCCCTGCAATACACACGGGATTGACCCCGCGCCACAGGATCATTAAGCCCTCCCATGGCTCCGGAGTCGGCAAATTAGTACTACATCTCTCCAGGAGTATAGCAGCACTGAGCTAATACATGGGCAGACCATCGCGAGTCATTGTATACACCAAAAATGCATTCAATCACTTCTAACGATGCTTAGCGAAGTCCAAGTGCATGGCGCATCCCTCAGAGATTGATTAACACTGAGAGCTTTATATTTGTTGCGTGTATTCTACATGCTCTTCATAAAGACTACCTCGTTGCACATATCAAGGACGTTAAATGAAGCACAAGCAGTTGAACAAGGAGGATTTCGACAAGGATTCCGCTGCATGGACCAGACGCGAGCCATGTTCATAGTCACAGAAGTTTGTCAAGAATACCACCTGCCCTAGTCCTGATTTTTGTCGACTATGAAAAAGCGTTTAACAGCGTCGAAATGAATTCAGTCCTATCAGAGCTTCTCGACCAAGGAGGCCGTCCTATACACAAACTCTAGCAGGCTGTTATCGGAACTGCAGCATAAATACACAACTTTTTCATCGACCCTCACTATACACAAAGGAAAAGGGGTTCGACAAGACGACACAATATCTCCAAAGCTGTTTAGTCCCGCACTGCAATCGATTGCGAAGTCACTCGATTGGGACAATAAGGGCATATGTATTGACGTAAAATTCCTACCAAATCTTGGTTTCGCGGATGACATTGTCATCCTCTTGAGGAGTACCAGCCACCAAACGACTGAAGAATCCAAAACTCCGCGCTCACATTTTCTGTTATGCGACAGAAACGTGGGATGATACTTTGATCACGTCAAGAATATTGGGCACCACCCAGACAACTTTTAAGTGATATCTTCTGAAATTTGACCGGCGCTGACGTCCAGCTGGAATATAAAGCTCAGATCTTCGAAATCTGTCACATTTTCGAGATCCAGGACAATATACATCGATAGCGTACACAGACGGGCCGGTTAAATAATAAGGACAGATGACAAATGGAAGAGAAGAGCATTGGAGTGGACTCCAAGAGAATGCAAGTGTGCTCTCGGAAGACCACCGAAATGATGGGCGGACATGTTCGTGGCTAACGCCAACCATTTGCACTCGAAGATGGAAACTCTCTTAGGAAATCGGAATGGGCCTCGCCAACGTCACCATGTTCGCAGCAGGCCACCACCACTGACGACGAATGCGCGAGAAAGAAATGAATGGATCTCGTACTGGGGTCCGCACCATCAGTGAAGACGGGCCATCCAACTATCCAAGCAAGTTTACACTCACTCAATAGCATGTATAACACAAGTGTGATATAATCCGTGAAAAATTACTCGGTAAACTTAAGTTTGCAAAAAAAAAATCGTTCTACGTAGGACTTTGTTTCCCGGCGGTGAGCTGTTAACTAGGAGTGTACCAAAATATAGCCAACCCATGGAGACCACTGCAACTGCGAAGTGGATTTGACGTGTACGAGACCTTTTTCATCAGAGCTAAAAGTTAGTAAAACGACTTTTAAAAGTAGTTAAGTTAGCCAGTTAGTTAAGTCAACAAAAGTTAGTAATTTTCCAGAAACATGGGGAAATACGACAGACTTAGAGGATGATGCGGAACAAGAAAACACATACTGCTGGCAAACTATATAGAGAAATCCGACCACTGATTGGTAAATAGGAGAGTTACACTTTTAAAACAAAGGAGATTTAAACTTAGCGCACTAAGCGTATGTGCTAACCCTGCGTCGCATTGACACATTACTGGTGCTTGGTCGCATTTCCTTCGGCGGTGAAGTATCACGCAGCTGTTGCTGACCATCCAGTTCGTGTTTTCTAGTCCTTGAACGTTATGTCCTGCACAACAACGGAACCAGTAACAACGACCACTGAAACAGTGACGGATGACCATGTAAGAAAAGGCTAAGTTTGAATGGCTTTCTTTTCTGTTGAACCAACATTAACACAAACTAGTTTGTCGTCTATTAGTAAGTAGTACTCGGTCGTCATTACTCTAATGTGCTTGAATATGCTCGGATTGGCTTGGGTTTGGAGGATGCTTTTCTAAAAAGCATAGCCACACACAAACGATGCCAGTTGAGATGTAGCGGTAGGATGCTCCTCTCGACCCCCATATCAAGTCGACATTTTACCGAATGGACCATGCCTGATCGTTTTCTGTTCGTATCACAAAAGATAGATGATGTCCATGGCCGCACTGTTGATGTGCTAGAAAAAGGATTCTTTTGGGTAGGCCCAAATTTCGCGTAACGCACTAGCAACGGTGTGGGTCATGTGACATAAACCTGGCCAGAAATAATCTAGCTTTCGGTGCTTGAGGAAGCGTATTTCAGCTCTTCGCGAAATTTTACTGTTATATTGAACATCGTTATGGTCGACATGTCAGCCAACAAAACAAACCGTTCGTTGTTTGACTACGATGAAATTCTGGTCCTTGGGAGTGCATATGTCGCTTTCTGTTCTTCCCCTTTTCTCGTATAGCCCTGCGTCTTGAGAAGCGAAGCGATTGAACAGGCAGGATTCAGTCTGGAGAAAAAAGAAAAAAAAGTCTGGGGTCTCGACTTCATCGTTGACATTCACGACTGTAGCGGCTACTTGAAATTCTCAAAGATTTCAATTCTCCCGTTTCCTTCCGGAGATTTAGATTTCAAACAATTCAGAGTGGAGAAAATATTTTGTAGAAGTAATTGCACCTTGGAAACTAATGCACTCTCTTCCTCAAGTCACTCGAGTACTCAGCTTCTCAAGTACCGTGGTTATCGAAGAATTATAGATACATTTTAAACCGGCATTGTGGCGAGTCCGTTAGTGAGGAAATGTTGTCCATATAAGGAAGATCGCTAAGAATAATACACTCGACGTTTATTTACCCCTACGACTTTGTTATTGATGTTCGTCTGGCAGGAGTTTTATCTCCGAATAACAAAGGGTTGGTTCTGGAGTAGAATTTCCCACTTCAGAATTTCACCAAACAGTTGATCTGCTAGATACAACCACAATGATGCTGAAATATCTGAAAAACTCTGAACTCCAGGCCAGATTTGAACCTGCGATTATCCTTTCCGAGAGACCATGTGTCACCCACTGCACAGCAAAGCCCTTTGCTTTACCTTTTTCCTAGCCCATGTTTTTTGTTAGTGCTGTTAGCAATAGCCCCTCAATGGGAATAGTTGATTCGAAGCCCATCTCATCTGGAGTTCCGAGTTTACTCGTATTTCTGCATCCTTGTTGCATTTAACATAGTACGCTACCCTGAAAAAGAATATGCAATAACCAGAAGTAAAAATAGTGCAATTTATATATTATTTTCAAGCGCTCGTAGTTGAGTGCTACTTTCTTCTCTAGTGTCCTCATCCTACGTTGGAGTTTTGTCGAAATGGTTTGGTATATCGTTTAGCACGTCTATTCCTAAGACTCATTTCTGTATTATTTCTGAGTAAAAATTTTCTGTATTATTTCTGAGTAAAAAGATGATATAGAAAATAGACCAGAATACCTTTAGGGACTTTTATCATTCCAGTGAATAATTTCTGGGGAACCCTTCTTCGTCGATTTTTCTAATGATCTTAATTTAACTTACCACCTCGCGTTTTTAATACGGTACAGAAGAAGCGATTACAGACCGAACTGGTTTTGCGTCTATCTCGAGAACCAGAACGACCGCATGTGAATTGGACCACAGAGACCGTGGATAATGAGAACATGGGAAAGAAAAAGAGCAAATGTTGTTGCATTTATAAAAAGAAGAAGACTTGGCAGGATGACTCAAGTAGCGACGACTCGGTAAGAATCAGTTTCGCCGGCTATCTATTGGGCCTTCAACGTGCATTTATTTTGACTTCGCTTATTTTCAGGAATGTGAAACAGGGAACTGTCGTGGCCACGTGGAAAAGAAGAAACATGGTCATGAGCATCCAGCAGGTGGCGGTGATATGGGATCTTAACGTCTCCTTGGGCTCAGTAATGGTTGTTACCAAGAATTTTGCTATAATTCTACAGACCCTGTGGTCGTCCTACGTCCTCGGTGTCCGTATGTGTCTGGTAGTTATTTGACTAAGCGGAAGAATGACGTCGAGAGACCACAGTTTTTTGTTTGTTGTTGAAAGTAGCGATGGATTTCTATCAGCCGTCGTAATTTGTATATTATTCCGTGTGATCTTTTCAATTTAAGTAGAATTAACGATTTGTCATGTGTGAGTTTTCCGAAGAACTTCAAATCCAAGTACAGCAACCAATTTAATCCCTTGTTTTCACATTACGCTGTTTTGCGCAGTGTTAAAATTAGGTTTTCTATGGTAATGTTCACTGAATCTTTACGCAGCACTTTCGTCTGGTACCAGAACCTGTTTTGTCTCCGGTTGGCCAAATGACGGTGTGATAACAATTCATTTTATGACATATTTTTTTCACTTTTTGAGAGCCTTGCAGATTTGATGTTTGTGAATTTCGAGAAAAGATGGAACAACTGAGGTCATGTTTTGAACCGGAAAACTCATTTGAACTGCTAGTTTTTTTTTGTACCTTAACTTGTAGTTGACCATAGTTCAGTGTAAAAAGTAGCAATAGTTGTGCTTCGTTGTTACTTTAGTCCTTAGCTTTCTTAATGTGGAGGTGCTTACATTGTTGTGTGCGCTATTGCTTGGTTCACTCCTCTCTAAGTATCCTAAGCATAAGTTAAGCTAGTTAAGTGTTATGTCGTAGGTTAAGCGTTAAAATCTGTGCTGTCCGCTTGTTTTTTCATTGCAGCAAAGGTTTCTCCAGTTAACCTGTATAAATATCGTCGCTGTTTCTTGGCGAATTCTTATTTTTCTTTTCATCACTAGTTTTTTATTAAAATGAGCATGCTTGACTTTGTGAATTCGATAGCGCGCTTAGGTCTCAATGCGTTTTATTTTTTTGTGGTTTGAGTATTCGATCAATAGCTCGTCGAACACAGATGTTACATCAGAAGTGGCCTTGAGAACGCATTGTCTACACTTAGTAAGTTAGAGAGAAATATAGTGTCTGGGAGGATAGCGGCACTAGCTCAATACATCGCTAGGCCACTGGGAGTCACTGTTTAGGCCAGATATGATGCGCAATATCACCTCTAACGATGCTTAATGAAGTCGAATGAATGGCACATCAGGCCAACGCGGAGAGCATTATTCTTTTATTCTTTTATACAACTCTTTATCTAAGGTCAACTTTTTTTTTACCAAAGTACCCACTTCGTATAGTCAGAATTTCGACACTTTAAAGAGAATTTTCCGATCACGAGGTACATTTGACGCTAACCAGCCCATTTTATGCAACATATTTCAAATCGGATTACCATGATAATGGGTGTACCATCCTATTGATTGCCTTCATGTTCTCGGCCCACTGGTAACGCTTTGTTCGAGGAAATGGGAAGTTAGTGAATATAATAACTTTTTATTTGCTGCCTATTGCAATTTTTCGCGGCAGGTATTGTGTGAAATACAACCACAATGATGCAGGGGTAGTTACAAAGCTCCGGACCGGAGGTATTTGCTGTGGGAATCGAACACGCTGTTACCCTTCCCGATGGCTGACACGTTCATCACCATAATAGCATGTTAGTCGTGTGATATCGTGTTCGCTTCCACCACAAGCACCTGCGGTCCGGAGTTTTAGGAATCATCATTGTGGTAAGTGAACATATTACTCATGTAGCTTTAAATAATTAGCGCTCTTGATGGATTGGAAAAAGGACGCTGTCATGTGCTGTGGACATATAGTAACGATGTTATCTTTCCATTTCATCACTGTGGTGCTACTCCGATTCTTTTATGAGGTACACAACCTTCCAGGCCAGGTGAATGACTGGGAATTTCTTTTCTGATTTTCTAGCAGTTTCCAATGAAATGAGACCTTTTCCGCACTAGATTTTGGCTCTGGGGGAGACTTATGGATTAATTGTTGGTGTAAGGAAATATTTCTTCATACGGAAAGTCCGTCCATAAGCCTCATCACTAAGACTAAGCTACATTTCCAGTTATAGAGATTGCTATCGCTATGCAGCAAAGTTCTATAAATGTAGCCATCTCTTGAGCAAGGTTGAAGTATATTATCAGCGTAATTGTGTCTTTTATCTTGAGTATAGCAACTCTACCTATGAATCGCATGAAAAGTCTACTTCGCGAAACAGGACCTGTTCATTCTGCTGCAATTCCTATTAATAAGTTCGATTAGAGGCTTTCTGTTCTATCTTTTATTATAGTATGGGATAGAACAGGATGGATTGCAAGGGGTGGACTGGAGGTTCAATAATCGAAAGTTCTTGCCCCATTCGAAAGGTTCTTGTGTACTGAATATCGATTCATCTCTATTATAATCGACTATCAATTTTGGACCATAAATATTCCGTAAAACCCTATCAGCTTAGTCCGTCACTCCAGTTGCCTAAAAATTCCCGCGAGTCATTGGAAAACTAGAGTCGTCCATTATGTGAGTCCAGTCCTTTTTTCAATTTTCCCCGGATTGTTCTCTTCTTTCCAATCACTGCGATGGTAATCGCTCAACAAGGGGCTGCCTAGCGTACGAAAAATAGCGAATGTACTCGACATACGAAGAGAAATTCTTTCAAGTGGTGCCAGTGATGTGGTTGGGTGGTAGACAATAGTGGTATATAGTATGTAGTAACATAAATTGAACTAGAGTAATAGGGTAATGTCGCTGCTATAACTCTATCGTATTACCAACCCCCCCCCCCCCCCCCCCCCCCGTACCGTTGATCAGAAGCCAAATACGAACGAGTTATCCAAGCATGTAATCAACATGAGATTTCCAGTAACTGCGGTAGTAATCGTGCAACAAGGGCAACTCATGCGGCAACTACTCAAATTTGAGCTTTCAGTTTCATGTATTAGCCGTTTCGCGACCATGCGCATTGATTTCAATATGTACGTTGGCGGCTACGGATCTCCCTCACATGAGGGATCTCGAGCAGGTTAGTCGCGAGGCTGCGTGGCGCGTCCCCAGGTTGCGGATGGGGGTTGATCGCGGGCCAAAAGTGACCTTATTTCGCAGCGTTGGGTAGGACGAGTGCGGAGAGGCTGCTAAAACCTCACGGCCAATGGAAGCTGCCTGGATTTCAAAGAACTATGGTGACGATCTGTCTTATACAAGCAGGAAGGATAAGTACGACGTCATCGGCCTGGCTCAAACGAGACGACGCCACCCATTCAACGCCTTCTATGACACAGGAGAAGAACTGTTCCTCGGAACATGCGGCAGTAGAGGAGTCGACGGCGTCGGCGTCAACACGAGTTTGTCCATGAACATCGATTCATTTGAACAGCTTACAACCCGAATCGGACGTTTACCACTAAAACCAACTTTGGTTTACCGGCCAATACCGGCTTTGAAAGTTTTCGTCGTTTACGTGCCGACATCAAACTATGACGAAGAAGAAGTTGAAGGGTTCTATATGGACTTGGAGAAGTTCTACAGAGAAGGCCATACATTCTTCAAGGTCATCCATCATTGGAGATTTCAACTCCAAGACTGGTCCAAGAAGAACGTCTGAAGAACGTCACATTGGGGCACACGGATTAGGATGGAACGAACAGGGAGAGCGGCTATCTGAAATTATCATGGCGACCAAGACCATCCATAGTAGCTCACAATTCCAGAAGCCGTACCCTCAGCGCTGGATGTGGGAGTCTGCCAATGGAAAATACCATAACGAAATAGACCACATCATAATGAATAGGTTTTGCCTAACCGATGTCGCTGTTGTCCCAAAATTCTGTACTGGATCAGACCACCGTCTCCTTCGTGCAAGATTCTACTTCTCGCGGAAAGGAGAAAAAACCACTAAATTCTAAAACTGAAGCCCCAGAACCATCGTAAACAGGGACTTATTTAATTCCTTATCGACTGTTGGCAAGATGCCGTTGTCGATAACATCGACGAGAAATACGATCAGCTTATTCAACGTTTTCACATAAGCGCTATGAAAACTGAGAGTTTGAAAGTCACACATAGGCGATAAAAGAAGATCTTAAAGAGAGAAGAGCAGCAGTAATGGTAAAAGCTGCAGAGGCTGGGAAAAGCAATGGCAAAGCCCACTGAAGCTTCGCCAATTATAAAACCAAGATGGTTGCATTCCGACGCCCAAACGGAACAGTTACAGCGTCCAGAAAGGTAATGGAGAAAGTCATTCACGAATACTACTCAGATCTCTTCGATAGCCACGTCCACCTTCCGTCATATGAAATGAAAGTGGATGGATATGTTGTTCCACCGGTTCTCCCTTCCGAAATCCGACATGCCATTTCGTCAGTGAAAAATCGAACAGCTCCAGGTCCAGAGAGCATAAAACCAGAACACCAGAAGAACCTTCCACCAGTCCTCGTAAACACACTGGTTCGGCTCTTCACACGTTACCTGTCTGAATGCAAGGTACTCTACTCAGTGGAAGACCAGCAGGACCATGTTATTTTCAATAAGGGTGACCTACACGATATAGGCAACTATCGCCCAATCTGCTTTCTGTCTGTCGTCTACAAACGTTTCATTCGAGTCATCCTAAACAGGATTGACAGAACACTAGACGAAGGACAGCCTTGTGAGCAAGCACCGTTTCGAAAAGGATTTAGTACGATAGACCACATCCACACGATAACAAGTCTCATTAAAGTATCGCGAGAGTACAGTATCGATTTACAGAAGGCCTTTGATTCAATTGAGATAGAAGCAGTCATGGAAGCCCTTGCTAGTCAACGAGTCCCCACTCAGTACATAACGATTCTTCGTGAGCTTTACAAAAATTTGACAACCAAGATATCACCATTCTACAACGATGTTAACATTGACATCAAAAGAAAGGTTAGGCAAGGCGGTACCATCTCACCAAAATTGTTTACAGCCACCCTCCAGAACGTAATGCTAACATTGGAGTGGGATAATATGGGATTGAAAATCGATGGTCGGCAGTTACACTATCTTCGCTTTGCTGATAACATCGTCCTTATATCCTCAAAGATTAGCCAAGCGGAACGTATGCTTGCCGAATTTGATAAAGCCTGTGGAAAGATCGGTCTTCGACGAAATCTCACAAGAACGATGTTCATGAAGAACGGATTGGCTTCGTGTGCCCCATTCACGCTTAACGGAACGCATATCTGCGAATGCTTCAGTTATATCTATCTAGGTCGGGAAATCAATATGATGAACGACTTAACTCCAGAGTTGAGCAGAAGGAAGGGAGCGGCTTGGGAGTCTTTCAAGAAAATCAGGGGTGTAGTGAAGAGGAGAAAGAACACCCGATTCCGTGCCCACCTTTTCGACTCAACGGTGCTTTCTGCCCTAACGTATGCGTCAGAAACCTGGTCGCTGCGTAAGCAGGATGAAAGATCACTCAGAGTTATTGAACGCGCAGTCGAAAAGGGCGATGCTAGGAGTATACCGTTTCACACAAGTAAGGGAAGGGATGCGAAGCTCCGATCTGTGTCAACTATCAAAAATCAAAGATGTCGTTCTGTACGCCAAACAGTCGAAGATAAGGTGGGCCCGGACACGTGATGCGTATGAATGGCGATCGATGGACAAGAGCCGTTAGCGACTGCATTCCTCTGGATGTCAAACATATTGCAGGAAGACCACCGACCCGATGGTCAGGATTTTTCTCGAAGAGCCTAGAAGAAAGATATGATGCTAGACAAGTCCCTAGAGCGAGCAGAACCCACTGGGCTACTCTTGCACGCAACAGGGAAAAATGGAGGATTTGCTAGCACCCGGTCGAGTCACCCGACGATCAATGGGTCTACAAGTGATACAGGTGACAGGTGACGCTGACGGTCTCTATAGACCGCTTGTATTGATTTCGATGTGCACGGTCTTTACCGACATACTTTGCCGCGCAGATCCTTTTTCCTCATTTTTGTGTACATTAGATAGCTTGTCGAACACAGATGTCGTGTTAGGTGTTGATCGAGGAAAACTCTATTCAGCATTAAGAAACGTACATAAAGCCGTTTTCCAAATGAATTCAATGCTCAGAAATTCGATTGGCAATCGACTATCACTTCAATTCTAACTGCTATATTGAATCATACTTACCTGGGCACTTGGATGACGCGTCTTCACTGAATGTGCTGGCCCCAGCATATTTTCCACTTTTTAGGATTTTGCTAGTTTAGCTGTTGTGGTTCACTGGAGTTCCAAGGTCAGTCTAGCCAAAGTCTGCCCCAGGTCGTCATCACGACAGCCAGTCGCCGTACTTGTGAATCAGAGAGGGATTTGTCACCATGACGAGTACTTTGGTACCAGTACGGTGACGGACCCCGGAATTGGTTTCCTCTTAGCTGGGTTTCCTGGTGAAAGTGCTGCACTCTTTCTCATCTTGGGAGACCTTGCGGCAAGGATGAATCCCCCGCTGTACATCGCAGTCCGATACCTAGGAACACCTACTGGCCACGATGAGGCGGTAAACCGTTAGAAGGATGACGAATCGTAGTTATAACATAGCATGTGAGCGTACAAAAGTACTGAAGTAGCTACAGTATAATTTGCAGAATATTTACAGGTGCTAACAGAAGACTTTCAACTTTGAATTGGAAGGAAGTCCTGCTTCTGCAATAGGTTTGTTGTTAGAAATTCGAGTTATGACTGAAAAATGAACGTTTTATGTACTGATCGTTGCATAGTACGAAAAATTATGGGTTGCTAATAGATGTCTCGAAGTTCTTCCGATATTTGTTACATTCAATAAACCGCACTATAAGCTGAGATATGCTTGCTTAGAACTGAGACGCGAAAATATTTTCGGACACATATGAGTAGAAATCAATTCACATTGTTCAATTTTCACAGGCCTAAGAAGTTAAATCAGTTCACGTTGTTGGGAATGTGTTAATTATCCCATGTGAATTCTTTGCAGGTAGTCTCATTTTGTAGAAAGTGTATAGCTAAAACTACACATGATCAGAAGTAAAATACACGAGAGTAAAAGTTTCGTTGGGGAGCAAATGATTAATCCCACAATCGACAGCAGCTCATAGTCAACCACTTGATTTATGTTCGTTGTCGTTTTCATCGTCAAACTCTGTACGCCGCATGGATGTCTCTGCGTTGATCTCGATGTCTTCATCTGCATCCTCCTCTTCTGAGCAACCTTCGAATGCAGAATCATCCGAAAGCTCCTCGTCGTTGATGGTAGACCATGGATATGAGGGTAGATGTCGTTTTCTCTCTTTAAAGGGAAAGATCAGTTTGATTAATAAATTGTTCGACTTTAAGTAAGTGGTAGTGAGAAAACGACTAGGTTGTGTAGTTTTGCGAAACAGACTGGTGATGGTTAAGTGAAATGTTCAAAGGTGACCACTTAACTAGGTAAGAATTTTTCATTTCACAAAAGACTTGATGGTACTACACTTTTTAATCTAGGTACTCTTTCGTTTAGCTTAAGCAGTGCTTCAAAGATTAATGAGCAGTTGACTACTTCTACAGTCTGCATCCAAAAGAAATTAAGTAAGGCACACATTTTTACAGATAGCAATCATTGGCGGTCGATCCGCGAAATAATGGTCTTTTCTGTGAAATTTAGTAGCTACCAAAACCAAAAGGCCTTAAAACTATTTTTTGACACTCTTTAAGAGAGAATGAACGTTGACGACGGTAGAATCAACGCGCATGCAGTGCAGTGGCTAGAGGCACCCTTCAACACACATAGGATCAATCCTGCGCCCGAGGCTCACCAAGCTTTCCATTCCTCTGAAGTCGGCAAACTGGTACCAGATTTGTCTGAGAGGATATCAACTGATTTAATATATGGGTACGTCACCGCGAATCATTGTATATACCAGATATGGATTTAGTCACCTCCAACGATGCTTAATGAAGTCGAATGTATGTCGCATCTCTTAGAGATTTATTAAATCCTAAAGTTCTTTTCTAGCTTTTATCAGTAAAGAGTAAATTCAAAGATTGGTTCTCTAACCTACCGCTTTTGACAAGCTTCTCCTTTAGTTGTGCTGTCGATGTTTTTTCGGGGCTCAGTACCTCAGCGACTACGCGCAGCATTCTGGGGGTTCCAAGACCCGAAATCCGACAAGTTTCTTGAAGATCACGGCTTTCCTTAGCCACTGTTTTGGTATTCTTGTCATTTTTTAGCATTTGTCTGCAAAAAGGGACATCTAGAGAGGAATTGTTTACCTGTCACTTACCAATTTTGGCAGGGTGTAAATCTAACCAAATTATCCATGGACTTCGTTATCAATTGTATGGAGGGAGATATGTGGAATGAACAAGAAAGTACGACAAATGGTTCTTTTTTCGATTGATTGTCATTATATTACCTAGGTTCTATGATAGAATGCGACTTAAGCATCTTGAGCAACTTGGGAGATCTCTTGTATGGATATTGTTTTTGGAAAGTTCCCACTCACGCAGCCTTCCTTTTGAGGAGGACTTGAGCTTGAGGATAGTACTTGATGACGTCGTTGAGGTCCTCCTTTGCCAGTACGAATAATGTTGCATAACCCTTCGCTCGTATTGAGGCGGTTCGACGGTTGTTGCCTCCAATAGCGAGTAGACTAAAAGTGATAATGTAGCGATGATACGGTCACGGATCGGAAAGCTTAGAATTATAATGCACTTAAAGAATGGAAACCAGCAGATATTGTATACAGTGGTTTGGTTCGTTCATCAGGTCAAATAATCCATTTAAAGCCAACAAAACACGAGTTGATGTGCTTGTGAATGTGTTCAGTCAGAGTTAGATACATGTCAACCTAAGAGTTACCTGATCTCGCCAAACACCGATCCTTGCACAAGTTCGGCGAAAACTTTCTCGTTATTATCGCCTCCAACTACTTGCAGCACTCCCTGGTTTACGATGTACATTTCCTTACCGACGTCACCCTAAAGGTTCCTCATTTAGCAACAAACACTCTTTTTGATTCTTTTGCTACATATCATATCCTCGGTTAGAAGACTGTGATGTGGAATCAAAGCCGAGATCATCACTGTGTTGCTGAGTTTTTAATGTATCCTTTTTCCTCACTCCTCCAAAATTTTCACTCTTTTCTTCTCGATTTTCTGTAACACCGAAGTTAAATCGTTGCACATTCTCTAATTTCTAATCCTAGAGAGTTAAACCATGTATCTCGCTCATAGAGGATTCCCAGCTGATTAATCTTGAGGCATCTGGGTAGCACGTTTTCAGGTGACAAATTGGAGCTAAATGTAGATGTTGACAGGAGATTCGATTTAAGTTTGGACTGTTTGTTTCTGTTGTTGATATTATCGTATGTGTGTATGTGGACACTCAAACATATTTGCGTGAATATGCTCGCATATATCATCGTCGAGAACGTCATGTGGAAACTGGATTGCCATACTTCAGAAAGAAAAATGGATGTCTGCAATGTCTGGTAATTACGCAATTTTCGCCTTGCTGATGACACCATTTCTTCAAATATTAGTCGCTAATTTGGTGAAACTAATTCTGGCCGATTTCGAAAACGCTTATGGACAATCTTGGTCTTCAATGTTTAACTTTTTATTTACTACCTATTCTTTTTTAATAGCAGTTATGCGAAATATGACCACAAGGATGCTGAGGTATGAGAACCTTTGAACCCGCGATTACCCTTTCAGGGGCTCACGTGTTATTCATATTCTTGGTTTAAATTTGAAGAAAGCGACGTTCATGAGAAACCGAATCGTTTCTAGTGTCTTGATAATGCTCACTGATAAACGATTAAATGATAAAACTCTTGGCGTTGATCAATCCCTAACGGATACGCCATACATTCAACTTCATTTAGCATCGGTAGAGGTGACTGAATGCATATCTGGTCTATACATTGACTCGCGGTGGCCTACTGATCCATCGAGTTAGTGTTGCTGACCTCCTAGACAGATCTGATACTAATTTTCCGACCCCAGAGAGATGGAAGGTTTGATGAGCCTGGGGCGCAGGATCGAACTCGTGTATATTGCAGGGCACCTCTAACCACTGCGCTTCATGCGCCTCAGAGGTCATTGAATATCTGTCAACTTGCAGGTTATATTTATATGGGTTAGGAAGTCAACTTGATGGATGACATGAGACAATAGGAGAAAACAAATGGTTTGGAAAAGTTTCAATATAATCGAGGATACAATGAAGAGCGCAAAGAGCAATCGACTTTTTACTCAATTATTCGATTCTATGATTCTTCTTTACTGACATATATATGCCTTTGGAACCTACGTCTTTCTTAAGGACGTTGAAGAATAGAGAGGATGAATCTAGGAGTCGATGGTGTAGTGGTGAAGTGCGCTGCTCCCCGGTAAGGACAACAGCGCGTGTTCGTTCCCCACTGCATACACCTGTGGTCCGGAGTTTTGCAAATATCTCAGCAATTCATACGAATCTAGGAGTATTCAACATCGAGGAGGTGAGAAGGGAAATCCGTAGCTTCGACTTACGCCTCCGAAAAAAAAAACAGGCACAGCAGGCTTCATACCCAAGATGTCGGAAATCATCCGGATCACCTTGGACCAAAAGCTTCATGCGTCCTAACGGCATGAAATAACTGAGGTGTCGATAGCAAGATTTCAGATGCACAGCAGGTACACCGCCAGCCTAATCGTTAGGTTTCTTCTGATGACTCTTGGAAAAGAATACCATGTTACTTTGTGCCTCTCAAGCAACTCACTCTCCAACTTACCCAACACCAAATATATAGATGATTTGCTTGTACTAGCTTGAGTTAGCTGACACCAAGTAGAAAGACCAGTTGTCTAGATGATACGTAATGATGGGCCGGTCAAAGTTAGGATATATCGATAAATCGATAGTCACTTTTTTCATCACATACCTGTGTGTAGGTTTTTTTCTGATATTCATAAAGTTTCGATATTATGACACCTCCGGTATTACCACCACTTTATGTTAGGGGATGACGACGATGAACATTTATTGTGATGAGAACGATGCTTAATGATGGTTATAGATTATTCAAGATCATAGGGAAGTAGTGGGTGGTATTTTAGCTTGACTTGACACAGAACCAAAGCACTTTATCGCTTAATGCGGAGTCTTCGCAAGAAAATGCAAGCATTTGCCAATGCCATTGCAAGCGCATCAAATATCAAGCGCAAGCAAAGAAAGATCGCGGTCTTTTATAGTCGCTTATACCATTATGATAAAAAGTATGTAGCAACGTAGAAGACACGTGAAAGCAGAAGTTGACCTTTTTGATGCCTTCCCTATATCCAGTGTTATTATAGCGTTGATTCGAGGTGCCCTGCAGTAGATCGTCGTTGGATGGACCTCGTACTGCAGACCCAAACAAGCTCTTAATCCTTCCGTGGTCAGCAAATTGGTGCCAGATTCGTCTGGGAGTATAGAATCACCGACTTCATACAACGGTGAAACCAAATAGGTTGTATAGGCCAAATATGCTTTCAATCACCGATATTGTGGTTAATGAAATCAGATGCGTGATACGTGACTTAAGAATTGATCAACGCGGAACGCTGTGTCCTTCCTAAACCTTAAACGGAAAAAGGGAAAAACGAGAATAAAAACTCTCCTTCTTGCAAATCATGTCACCAGGAAGGAAGATGACAGGTCGTAGTTTCAACACAAGATCTCGTAGAAGCGTTCGATCGCAATCCTGAAAGTAGTCAAGTCATTAGAGCGACAGAGGTTGACTGAAAACTTAGGACTTCGCAGACCTGGAAAAGTTGAACCTTGCTGAGCGTGTTGTAGTGCACTGAAAGGGCTAAGTCCGTCTGCAATTTCAAGGGCAATTTGTCGATAAGTTTCTTTTCGTCTATAAGTGGTTAATGTGATGTTCGATCAGTGAAGTCGAGTGTAGTGAATGCTAGCATATTCATGCAATAAAAGTATCAAACATCTACTAGTGTATCTGGGAATTTTCGAACTTCCAGACTACAAGAACTTTGTCTTTTCTTTTAAAGTCGTAAAAACTGAAATGAGGCATTAACAGCAAACTGAAATTCTTTACGTGCCATCATTCCAATTCGAACCACCATGGAGTTCGCCTTTTTCTCACAAATATTTTGGAGTGTCACAGACACGTTGATCTTCGCGATCCGTACCGAGGGTTTTCTGCTGTTCCCAGGTGTAAATGAACCAGTCGCGAACCCTGTTCGTCAGCTCCTTCGACAAACCAAGCCGTTTACATTCAGAGAGCGCCATATCCATTTGTCGACGATATTCCTCTCGCGTTCGATTGGCGTTCGAGACAATGTCTCGAATCTGTGGAAAAATACAGATTTTCAACTAAATAGTCATCTTATATAATGCTGAGATATATAAAAAAACATCATCCTTCTAAAACTTCCAAAAAACTTCACAAAAACCCTCATCATTAAAAACTTCAAAGAAATTAAAATAAAAGTAAAACGATATCCTTTGAAAATCAACATCAACAATCTAAAAAAATCCTAAACTCTTCGCAAAGCTCCACAAAAACTCAAATAATAACTCACAAATCTCATAAAAAACGAAGCACTACAACCAAATAAAAGAACAAAAATAAATGGATAGTTATTTCGTTAGATTGTTGATGTTGATTTTTAAATGATATCGTTTTATTTTTATCTTGGTAACGATAAAACTAACAAAAAACAGTTAACTAACTAAACAGCTAACACAAACAAACTGGACTAACAACTAACACAGCCCAAACGAACAACCTTATATGCTCCAATGAAGTGAAGTTGATCTACTTCGCATATGCCGGAAGGAATTAATGTGCGCTTTTGTTTCACATCAGCGGATGTAATTCATTCTTGGGCTGTTTTTTAGGTCTTCGTTGTTTGGGAGGTATTATTTTTTCCATTAGTTTTTTTGTGGTTTATTATTATTGATTTTGGCTTCTTTTACTACCCTGCCAAACTCTACATTAAACCCACTTACTAACTCACTTTCTCTCCGCAAAAGCAAAAGGTGCCCGATTTATTCATAGTGAAGTCTTTTAAAAGATTGGTAGTGATTTTTTCTGTGGAGTCCTTTAGGTGAATTGTAATCGGGTTGGTAATATCCTTTTTAATGAATCTATATATAAAAACAGGCTAGGTAAAAACTAGCTGAGAGACAGCCGAGACGAAGGACCCGCGTGGTGTGGTGGTGAACGCGTTACTCCCAGGAAAGGGTAATTGCGCGTTCGTTCCCCACCGCAGACACCTGCGGTCCGGAGTTTTGCAAATATCTCAGCATTATATAAGTTATATTTTGCAACATACCCTGCAATTAAAAAAGAATAGGTAGTAAACAAAAAGTTCAAGATTATAAATAGTTCTTGTTAAAAAAATGGTCACATCATGATTTTTATATACGTCGAACTCATACAAAACAATAACTCGAAAGACCGACTTTCTATGAACCTCGGCATATTTCGGCGACTTCGCCTTCCTCAGTCCCGCACATAACATCACGGTTCTGAGGAAGGCGAAGTCGCCGAAACGTCAGCCATCGTTCAATAACATCAAAAACAACTACAACGACAACGACAACGAGATCTGTACCAACCTCGCGTCAGCTTAAGAAGATCAGTCTATAAGATCACATAAATAAATATATCATACAAAACAAATTATCCCTTCGTAGAAAATGCAAAAGAGTATTTCGAAAGAATTTAATATATCATTGTCTCATTCTTATTCTCTCGACTAATCTGGATCATTCTCACAGAATTGCTATTATCATACGGGGCGGGGGCGTGTGGCTCAGTGGTCGGAGGCGCCCTGCAACACACACGTGGGATCGATCTCCGGACCTAGGCCCACCAAGCCTCCATCCCTCCGGGTTCGATAAATCGGTACCAGACTTGTATGGGACGATAGCAGCACTGGCTCGATACATCGGTAGGCTACCGCGAGTCATTGTAAGGACCAGATATGCATTCAATCACCTCCAAACGATGCTTAATGATGTTGGATGCATGGTGCATACCTCAACGATTGATCAACTTCAAGAGCTCCATTCTTTTCTAGCTTTATTCTCCTTTTCGTCTACCAACACGAAATTTTTACCTGTCTTCTCGTAACCTATGTTTTGATTGATGCATTGCTTAAAGGATTGGGGTTTATGATATCAAATATGAGTTCGAATTATCGATAACCGATACACAATAATTTTCAAAACCATCTAAAACATCTCGGCTATTCTGGACATCCATTTCGGATTCAGTCAGGATTTAAAGAATTGCTGTTAATGTTACTTTGTCTAACCAAACAACCAAATGCAGTAGGTTAGTTGTGATGAAATTGGTTTTCTGTCCGCCCAAAAGATCATGCAAATGCTTCAAAACGATACAGATAGAGTGTTAAATCTCTCTTTAGCACATACATAAGAATTGCCCATTGGGCTCGGTTCACTTGACGGACGTAAAGCGCACTGCATTTTTCCTATACGTGCAAATCCGACAATCGGTTTGATCATCTTCCTTACGTGCACAAAGCCCATTCACAAATGGGTTTTGTTCTCTCGCTAGCAGTTTTCAGGAATAGGCACATCTTTGGTTTACCTGGTATTCGGGATTTTGGAATCACTTGTCCTTCCGTGCCTGCAGCATTCGTTTCTGTTTTGAAGAGACCAGACCAGCTAAGCGAATTTAATATAACTATCAACAACTGGCTTCTGTTCTCATGTTGTAAGCATCAACGTAACCGAAAGTGGCGCTGGGTAATTTTGGTTGCAGCGCCTTGTTTTAAGTTTATTTTTACGTTGGGTACACCTTTGTATAACATGAAATTCTGACTGTGAAAAGTGCAGAAAAGATCGTAGACGACAGACAATAGGTAAATTAAGTGACGGATGACACATAGTTACGGCAACTTTTGCTTGTATACAGTAATATAAACCCTACAGGCTTTCCATTGATGAGAAACTCTCCACTGCGACAAAAAGCGTAGAGCTAGGACCGTGGCGTGTCCACTAAATCTATGAATTTAACTCTGTTGAAACTGCTGAGTATGCCGCCACTCTTCCATCAAGCTAGGCAAGCAGGTCAGACGTTGAGGATATTTTTCTCGACCTCTTCAGCTTCGACCACAACTGTTTCTTTCTCTTATCTAGATCTTATTTTATCACTCTTTATGGAGAGTTTTGAAAGTCTGAAAGTGAGCAAGTTGTTGCCTGCGTGTAGCGTAGTCCCACGTTTGCGTGTCCGCTCGAGTTTCTTTTGACACGTTTCCCTTCAATGCTTTAACACTCTCGATGGTTCTTTCTTTCCAAGGTGACACTATTTCTATGACTACTATATTCATTGATCAACGATATTTTAAGAAGTAGCATAACCATTTATAGTTTTAAACACAGGTGACTACACCTTGTACATTTTCCGTTCAACGATTACATTTCAACCTGATATAGATTGCCAACAGTGTATGCTGCTTAATATATGGAACCATGAAGCTATTTATGTAGTCGTAGTTCGATCCATTTGCTTTCCTTTTTTTCTTTTTTTTTCCATTTTTTGCCACTGCCTTTAATTCGCTTTTAGATCTTTTCTAGCCTAACAGTTACTGAAATTCTTGTGTTGCTACAAATTCTAACAGACACCGTGATCTGTCACCTCATCTTCGCAAGTACAAACATATGTCAAGTGTAGCGACACCTTTTCGATTAATCAGGATACTTTCTCATATATAATACTACTTTTTTGCAATAGAACCTTGCTTCTTTCCACTATTTGCTTGACTCTCTTCTTTAGCCTTTATGTTTTGCTTAGCGTAACGAGAAGACTGAAATCACCTGTCCAAGAAGAAGCGCGAACACGAATACTCCCATCATCCACGAGCAAGTCATATACACATACCTGAATACCATAAACCTATTAGGTAAACTTAACACTGGAACACTGTTGTTTCACCACTGGAATTTATTTTGGAATCACAGCATCTGTGCCTATGCATAAATTCGGAAAGATGATGTGTTCGTCTTCTCAAATTTTCCACAAAAATTTTCGCAAAATTAAAGAAACATAAAATTTTGATAATAATAGACTTTAACAGATTATAAAAGCAAACAAGACTAGCAAGATACTAGTGGTAATATTTGATGTGGTCCATTATCACTCACTCAATAACATTCGTAGGAGCCGGATTGTTCCCTGTTGATGTGGCTACGGCAGCCGTAAAGTAGAAACAACGAATGTAAGCATTGCCTTAACATAAAAACCTAAGAGCAGGTATGGAAAGAAGCACCGCTAAATCTGATTTACTGGAATGGCATGGTTGAACATTTCTTGGTGGCTAAGTCTGGTTGTAAATAAGAAAATCTCCGATCAGTCAATAATATAATCATTACTCATTTCACTATGGTATGAAACACCTCAATTGGAATGATGTAATACTTGAAATATCTAGATTCACTGATGCTCCGTCCACACATTCGACTGTCTTCAGGCTCCAGCTCTTCTTCCACTCGATTAAATCTGTCATCACTGGAAGTGGTTACGTTGATTAGATTCGTATGTTGGCAAATCTGCTTCTTTAGTGTGGAGCTCTCTCATGGACATGTTGAATGTTGATCGAACATTGTTTTCCCTCCAATCTCAAGATAGCCGTGCAAGGGCGTTATCAGATCTTCAGTACAAACACTCGCTGGTTTTCTTTGATCGATGAGTGGTTTGATGCATTGTTCAGAACTCTTCAGGTAAGACGAACAACAAAGTCTACCCCAGCAACATGGAATCCAGCAGAATCAAACAAGTCGTTGAAAACAATGTAATAGACGGAATCAATATTTACAACAATCGCCATTGAAACGACGTTAATGTTGCTAGTTATATAAAATGTGTACATTACCACAATAGCTTTAATTTTTGACGCAGTTATAGCACAAGAAAATAAGGTTGGTGAAGGAATGGTTGCTACAACGGTGTGCACCACTGGTGCGCAACAATGAGTTACAAGTTATCCGTTTGTTCTAAAGGTGTATTGGATGCGAATAGCATACCTCGTTTAGAAATTACAAACAGCACATTGAACGAACTTTATAACTTTCTCATTAAACAGAGCATACAGCATGTTTGGACGAATTATTTGTTAATTAATTGATCACTAATCAGATCAAGGGCGCGTGTAGCGCAGTGGTCGGAGGCGCCCTGCAACACACAGTGGGATCGATCTCCATGCCGCTGGCCCATCAAGCCTTCCATCGCTTCGTGATCGGAAAATTAGTACCAGATTTGTCTGAGAGGATAGAAGCACTGCCTCGATACGTCCGTTGACCACCACAAGTCATTGTAAACGCCAGATGTGCAATCAATCACCTCCAAACGATGCTTAGTGAAGTCGAATGCATGGCGCATCCCTCAGAAATTGATCAATACCGAAAGCTTTTTTTTTAGTCGGATCAAAAAAAAACAACCTCATCGTACCTTGATTGTTGTAAACCCATTTGTTGAGGTACCATTTGCCATTTTCATGGTACGGTATCTGACCGAAGGCCTGCCAAGCACTAAGCAGGTAGTACACACAGCTGTTGCAATGGATTATATAGACCATATACGACAGCGTACGAGTTACCCTAGAAAACAGGTTTGCAATGAAACATAGAGGCTTCATTTACGCTTTATTTTCGGGCCCACCGAATCACCGACGGCGAAGAGAAAGAGTTGTCGAGTAGGTCAAATAGCTGCCAGAAAGAATGAATCTGTAAGATTGTAATAATTTTCTCTTCGCCCAAAAATCATTTTCCAGCTACCACATAGCCTTGACAATTCTGGTCGCGATGCTGTACACAAGCTGAGACATACCTTTGCAAGTTTGTTCAACCTCCAGATGGGTGTTGGTCCACTGTAAATATAGATGAAATCCGTTGGAATCATTGAAATCAAGTCGAGTTTAAACACCGAGCTGTTCAGATAATGCTTCAAGGTCTCATCGCGTGCTTTCTGCAATCATTAGAGGAGATCAGAGCTGAATTGTTGCGTGAGTGACTTTCAACAAAATTCTGTTTGCATCGAGTTGGGTCTCCTTGGAGGGTACAACAACCTGCTGACTTGTTATAGGCACTTATCCCAATTAAACGGTCGAAGAAAGAAATGGCATGTTCTTCTACTGTGAAAAGTGAAGATACTTATTTCAAAAGTAAATGCAATTAATGTTTCCTTTAAATTCTGGTGTTGTGATATTGGGAAAAGCTGTGTCAATAATGCTGAGAACAAATCTCTGCACATCTAAAATTATGGAAAACTATTAAGAAGTAGGGATGGGTTTTTTTTCATCGAATACTATAGGAGGTGCTGATCACTCAATAATTTATCTTCAACCACCTGAACCACCTTGGAATGTAGTTAATATAGATTTTCACCATCCCTAACAAACGAAGTTTTGATAGGGTTGTTGAATAAAAGCTTCCTTGAATGCAGCCTTATTAAGCAAATCGTAACTGTATATAACAGTTGATTCTCCAAATGGAACTATATACCTGATAAATCAGAACATTTCATGAGAAGAATCACGATCACACAAACAGAATCCAGGTTTCCACAACAGGGAAATTCTACTCTATTGTTAATAAATTTCAGGGTAATTGTGCACTCTGAACGTCTGGCAGCCACTGCTAGTGAAATAGAAGTGACTCTATGACGCACAACTGCAGGAGATGAAATATTTCGTTCAAAAACTACGTTGCAAACACAATTTGCCAACATGACTCCAAAAACAATTCCAGAGGTTGACGGAGTAGACACCTTCTTGCGTATTTCCCGGACTTAGCTCCTAATTATCGTTAGTTCCACACAACTAAGAATCATCCGCGTGTCAACACGATCGAGCTGAATTCAATAACGACATCGTATTTTTCTTTGCTTAGCGAACACCAAAGTTCTGGAGAAAGGACATATCTGTAACTCCCACGACCGACTTTCTATTAACCTCGGCATTGAGCTGACGTTTCGGCGGATTTCGCCTTCCTCGGAGCCTGGAAAGGTCAAGTTGATAGCAATCTACTCGGCCAGACGCCTCCATAACCAAACAAAGAAACTCTAAACCAAGATTTCAATCACATTGAACACAGCTCCGCACACTCACCGCTTTCTATGAGGTTTCCACTAAGTATGTCACGTAGAGACCAACCGCACAGAAATCACGTGGAAGTATAATGTGCCCCTCACATCAGAAAAGCAGTTTTATATACTGCCCTATATCACGCGTGATAATGAGGCATTCTTCCCTGCGGTTCATTTTCGGATTTCTGGAATTAATCCAGAATGCCTCGAGAGTTTTTCGCGCCTGTGTTCTTGATTCGCGTGCGAGGATCGTGACACATACTTCGAAGTCGTCCCCGTTATGTCTCTGGGTCCTATGCGTGCCTAGCGGGGTATTTGGTCTATTTTTGCCGGCTAGGTGTTCTTTCATGCGGACACAGAGGGGTCTACCCGTTTCGCCAATGTATTCGTCACCACACGTCCTACAGGAGATCAGATAAACTATACCCGAGTTCATGCAATCACCGTCTTTACCACTGGGGCAAATTGTGCAATTTTGAGTTGCACATGGACGGTCATATAGGCGGTTACGAACTAGCTGGCCCTTAAGATTACTCGGTGCTATTCCAACTACGTTTCCCGAATTCTCTAGACCCGTCCTTCTTAAACAGCGTTTTATAGCTGCACTTACTTCATTTGAAATGAAGGGCAGTATAAACGGAACCTTGTTGTCGCTCGAGTTATCGTTAGGGTACCTGTGGTTTTCTCTACACCTATCTCGAGCTACAGTTTCGTAGCCATTAGAAATGTCTATTTGCCGTGCCAAATTCCGGGACTCTCTCTGCTCTCTTCCCGTGCACACGTTAGTTGCTGTTCGAAACATGTTTCTTATAAGCGCCCTTTTCGTGTGAGAGGGGTGAGAGAAGAGGTAATGAACCAAAATGTTCTTACTACTTGGCTTTCGGTACCACTTTGTAATGTAGCCATTTTCTGACAGGTGAATTTGTACGTACAAAAATGGAAGCAGTTTTTCCTTCGGCTTTTCTCGGGTGAACTCGATATACTCTGACTGTGCGTTTAACAATTCGAAACATTTGTCCATTTCCTCTTGTGTTGAGCAAAGGACAAAGCAGTCGTCTACATACCTACAGTAGAGTAGCGGCCTGCGATCAGTCACCGGTGCTTCCACCTTAGACATAAATGCAATGGCAAGGCTTGGATATATCAACTCAAAATAAATATATCAACTATCTATGCCGAGGTTTATGGAAAGTCGGTCATTCGAGTTTCGGTATTTACTTTTAAACTCCTTCTCAGATGATGGGCAATAAAGCGAAGCATCTTCAAGATACTTTTTCGTTATCTCCACATCTAAATGATGAGGAATTACGACAAACTCTCCACCCTTATCACTAACGGATAGACTTATGGTTTTCAACCTTATCAGCTCTCGTACCTCTCGCATACCACGTTTTTGCACTGGAGTGAGGTTTGAGCTGAATCTTTTCGCGCAATAGTGATTAAGGGCTTTGAGAGCTTCATTTGCAAACATCCGAAAATTAACATCAACTTCATTATTGGGCTCTTGTTGTCTAAAGAACATCGGGGAAATGGTGCTATTGGTAGGGCCCCCACTTGGTGTTGTTCGCACCTATTTAGCGCTTCATCTCTAGCTTTTATGCAGAGTCTATCTCGAAGTTCATGTAAACCACATGCGACCCTACGCAAAGTTATCTTAGAAATGGGTTCAGATGGTGCGAAGCTCGGCCTCAATTCTAATAACAAGCGCGCACCATCGGGAAGAGTTATGCCACCTAACACGGTTACCCTTGAATTTGCTTGCACACTACCTATCCTATTGTGATCTGTTTGATGTTCCTTAGCGATATTTTTGTGCGCTATTAAAGCTGCGTTATGTGATTTACTCTAAAGGTCTTCGAATTTTCTCCGCAAGCGCGCAAAACTCTCGAGGCATTCTGGATTAATTCCATAAATCCGAAAATGAACCGTAGGGAAGAATACCTCATTATCACGCGTGTTATAGGGCAGTATATAAGACTGCTATTCTGATGGGAGGGGCACATTATGCTTCCATGTGATTTCTGTGCGGTTGGTCTCTACGTGACATACTTAGTGGAAACCTCATAGAAAGCGGTGAGTGTGCGGAGCTGTGTTCAATGTGATTGAAATCTTGGTTTAGAGTTTCTTTGTTTGGTTATGGAGGCGTCTGGCCGAGTGAGTTGCTATCAACTTGACCTTTCCAGGCTCTGAGGAAGGCGAAATCCGCCGAAATGTCAGCTTATTCGTGAATAAAGAATAATAACACCTTGCGTTTGCTCAACAAAAATACGAAGGACATATCTGTGTTAGTGAACAACAATGTTAATTACTCTATGGATTTAATGAATTGCATTGTAAACATAATTTGAAAATCTTAAGAATTCTTACAAGTTTCAGCGACTTTTTTCCAGTCTAGCATATAGGTTTATTTCATCTTTACCAGTTAAGGATAAAGGATAAAGGACAAAGCTCTTGGCATTGATCAATCTCTAAGGGATACGTCATGCATTCGACTTCATTAAGCATCGTTTAGAGGTGATTAAATGCATATCTGGCCTTTACATTGACTAGCGGTGGTCTATTGATGCATCGAGCAAGTGCTGATATCCTTAGACAGATATGGTACCAATTTACCGACCCCGGAGGGATGGAAGGTTTAGTGTGCCATGGAGACGGGGATCAATTCCACGTGTGTCTTGCAGGGCGCCTCCGACCACTGCGCCACACGCGCCCTTTTTTGCGCAACGGTAAATTCAACTACATAACGCTTAATGAGCAGTCGTAGCAATGACTCCTATCAACAGGACCGGTGGTTGATGTACAACATTTCTTCATTGAGCTCTTCCTGAATTTAGTGTTGCAATCACTGACCAGTGATGAAGTACATTCTTTTACATAGCACTTCCACAAAACACCGTGGTAAGAATTGAAATTTTGCGAAAGTTGTTGTTTTTTGGCAACATCTAGTAACGCAGAAGAAGCCGTCATTAATTAGTCAAGCATTAAAGAGCAAGAAATTTGATTGGTTGCAGATTAGTGAACTGGATGAGACTTCGCTTTCTTCTCTACCTCTTTTCTTTTGGGAGATTATATTATAAAGTATTCTTCTTCTCCTCTTCTTGATGTCGTGAATCCGGCCAGCGGAACGAATCGATAAGAGGATCAACTCCGAAACGGAGTCAATCTCAGTAGATAACTCCTAAACTGAAAATAAACGAAAAGCGAAAACTACGTAGGCCAGCTCTACAATAAGGACTAAGGAAAAGGTGAGCTGTGATCCAGCCATGCCATTCGGACGGCAAGGAGATCAAGCGAAACAATGATAATGCCTTAAACAACCACAGGTGTAGAGCGTTAGGGTTTATCCGCGTTCCACAGAAAAGATTCTTTATCTCTTTATGTATCATACAGCTGTATCTCCTATGTTTGAACTGTGCAGATTGATCTGGAGTGTTTTTGCCTATTGAGTCCTCGGTGGAATTACTCAACTTGTCCGAAAATATCACGATTCTTCCCTGGATCTTCTTCAGTGTGGGTTAATAGGTGGCCAATAGCGTGGCCCCAAGTGACGGATGAGAATTGAAACGCATTTTTAAAATAATTCTTTCTACTTCTGTTCAGCAAAGACGAGGTGTTATTTCATTTCTTTATTTACGTACAAGCTGACGTTTCAGCGGATTTCGCCTTCCACAGGGCCTGGAAAGGTGATGCTGACAGCAATCTATTCGGCCAAACACCTTCATAACCAAACAAAGAAAACGCTAAACCAAGATTTCAATCACATTGAACACAGCTCCGCACACTCACCGCTTTCTATGAGTCTTCCACTGAGCATGTCGCGTGAAGACCGCGAAGCACTTTTTTTATTTTACACGATCCATTCGTCCTTCAAATCTACCTTATCCCAGCACTGCTTTCATTCGACTCATTTTTTTACATCCATTGACCACGAAGGTCCTTCAGCTTTTGTGTGTGGATTCTGTTGCTGGTTGAGGATTTTTCTTTTCATCATGAATGTCGTTGAATGCTGATCGAGACCATTCTGTCTGAAGTCCTAAGATGGCCGGAAGTCTGGTACCAATTTCCCGACCCCGGAGGCATCAGAGGCCTGGTGAGTCTGAGCCAAGATCGACCCAGCACCGCGCTCGTGATGATTGACATCACTACCACTGAGCCACCTGCTCCATGAAGTTGGATACGTGCATATGTCAAAAATGACCTTGATCTTTCCTGAGAGTCAGGTAGATTCATGGATTAGAGCACTTCTTTCTTCTCAGTTGTAATGACATATATCTTCCATGTTATGTAGAATTATGTGTGCACG